GGCGGCCGACCGATATTCGCACCTGGGTCGATTCTTATTTTCGTCTTTTTAGGACACGAATTTATCTGGAGGGCTGAAATTTGGTACACATATGTATTTTCGCGTGTAGATTACAGGAAAAATATAGCGAACCTGATAGGAATTGATTATCATAGCGTTGTCAAGGAAAAACCATGAATTTTTTTTACAGGAAAAATATAGCGAACTTGATTCAGATCAATTTACATAGCGTTGTCAAGAAAAAATAAAAAATTTCGAAAAAAATGATTTATTCTCCCTAGCGCACACAATATTCAACCCAGACAGTTCATATTTAGTATACAAATGTATTTTTACGGGAAAAATACAGGGAAAAAAAAGCGGTCACGATTAGAGTTGATGATTTACTTTTTATCAAGTTTTTCAAGAAAAAATGACAATTTTAGGAAAAAAATGTATTTTTCCACCAAAAACGAACAAAATTTTATTTAAAGGGATTTAAATTTATATATTTTAACGTATTTTTAAGTGTAGATTACAAAAAAAATATAGCGAGCATGATTGGAGTTGATTATCATAGCGTTGTCAAGGAAAAACCATGAACTTTTACGAAAAATACCTAAAAATGACTATCATGGGTATAGGTGTAAATTTTATAAGTTTCATGTCAAGTCAATGTATAAAATATATATTCTTCTTAATTAGAAGCTTTTCGATCACATCACGTGATCATCTTCAGTAACACTAAAATATCAATGATTAACAATCGATTAGTTGTTATTTTTGTGAATTTAAAATTATTTCTGCAATATTGCATTACAAACTTACAAAAGATATGGAAAATATATTTTCCATATCAACTAATCGATTGTTAATCATTGATATTTTAGTGTTATTTTCCATATCTTTTGTACGTTTGTAATGCAATATTGCAGAAATAATTTTAAATTCACAAAAATAACAACTAATCGATTGTTAATCATTGATATTTTAGTGTTACTGAAGATGATCAACGTGATGTGATCGAAAAGCTTCTAATTAAGAAGAATATATATTTTATACATTGACTTGACATGAAACTTATAAAATTTACACCTATACCTATGATATACTCAGCCACAAGTCGAAACTAAAACTAACATCTAATTACAATTATAAAAATGACTATGTACCCCCCCCCTAGCAGGCACATCTTTTTACATAAAGAGCACAAATTTGGTATACTTACGTATTTTTACGTGAAAATTACAGGAAAAATATAGCGAACTTGATTTGGATCAATTTACATAGCGTTGTCAAGGAAAAATCAAAAATTTCGAAAAAAATGATTTATTCTCCCTAGCGCACACAATATTCAACCCAAACTGTTCATATTTGCTGTAAAACTGTATTTTTGCGTGAAAAATACAGGGAAAAAATGTAAGCGCGATTGGAGTTGATGATCAATTTTTATCAAATTTTTGATGAAAAATGATAAATTTAAGAAAAAAAATGTATTTTTTCGCAAAAAACGAAAAAAGTTTATCTAAAGTGATTCAAATTTATATATTTTGACGTATTTTTACGTATAGATTACAAAAAAAATATAGCGAGGATGATTGGAGTTGATTTTTCTGGAGCTGTCAAGAAAAAACTGATAATTTTAGAAAAAATCATGAATTTTCTCCCAATAACGGAAAAAATTTTATTTAAAGGGCTTCAAATTTACTATTTTTACATATTTTTATGTGTAGATTATAGAAATAATTTAATAAACATGATAAGAAATGGAAACAGTGGACTTTTTGGCTTAAGTTTATTTCTTTAGTCATTATAACTTTAAAGTAAAATAGGGGGTTCTTTATGTTCATTTTATAAAAATTTGGGTTCCTCGCGGAGAAAGCAATAAATATCTTTAACTCATTTAAGTGATTTAAATGATTTAAATTCAATTAAAACGCAAAATGTAAATACAATAAAAATATTGCGAGTTGAAATAAAATTATGTTTCTTATATTTTTTTAGTAAAATATTTTTTATAAAATAAAATCGGACAAGTGCGAGTTACACTCGCACTGAAATCGAGGGTTCCGTACTCGAAGCGAACTTATTTGGTATAAAAACAAATGATTAAAAAATATGTGTTGTATGTTAAATAATATATGTGATACAAAAAGAAACAATTTAAAAAAAAATTTAAGAAAATTGTTCCTCCTTTGGTATAAAAACAAAAAAATTTTTTAAATATGTGTTGTATTTCAAATAATATAAGTGATACAAAAAGGAACAATTTTGTAAAATTTAAGAAAATTGTTCCTTTTTGTATCACTTATATTATTTGAAATACAACACATATTTAAAATTTTTTTTTGTTTTTATACCAAAGGAGGAACAATTTTCTTAAATTTTTTTTTTAATTTGTTTCTTTTTGTATCACATATATTATTTAACATACAACACATAGTTTTTAAACAGTTGTTTTTATACCAAATAAGTTCGCTTCGAGTACGCGGAATCCTCGATTTCAGTGCGAGTGTAACTCGCACTTGTCCGATTTTTTTTTAATATAATTATAAATGGAATAGAAACTCATATATTTCTGTTCCATAAATGGAATTAAAAAAAGAGGTAATTTTCCGAATTAAAATTACTAATTCCATTCAATTCCAGCCTTTTTACCGGGAAATTTATTCCAAACAAAAAATTTATTTTTTTTGTCCAAAAGACAACCGCAGAAAACATCCGTAGGACGTCTTTTGAACAAGTCGATGGCTGGGTGTAAAAACATGATACATCGAATTGGCGTTGAAAAACATGATACATCGGATTAGCGTCGGAAAACATGATACATCGTCGTTTGATTTGAAGAACATGACATGTCGAAAACGAAATTTTTTTTCAAATTTCTGTTGGTACCACTGACCGCGAAATTTAAAATGTGTCAAATCTTTGAAACTGTTTTATGAAACAAATGATTTTGCTTCATAATATGTCAGTTTAAAGAAAAATTAGGTTAAATAGCTTTTTATAAAGTTTATATTTAGATTGATAAAATCTGTGATTTTATAAATAATTCTATTTTATTAAAAATATTTATATTGTAAATATTCTATTACAATTGGTGTTGCTTAACCTTTGTTTGACACACTGGGGTACAAAATACCCCACGTTTTTCCATTCTTACCAATTTTTCTCGAAATACCTCACGTTTTCCAATTTTTTAAAAATACTTACTTTAAATATTCTACTATATAACTTATATAGTTTTCAGAAGATACCTCTCAAGAATATGTAAAAAAAAATTGAAGTAGATATATTTAATATTTTATTTTTCATGATGATTTTTGTCGATGGGGTACAAAAAACCCCAATGTGTCAAGTATGATACTCAGAAAAAGTGTGTCAAGTAAAGGTTAAATATTTGTTTAAAGGGTCAATCATGGAGAGTAAGTAATGTATATTTTTTAAAACACAATTAATAAATAAATCAAATTAACTTACAAATTTACTTACAGATTATACAGCTGTAAAAGTAATTAATAATACAGACGACCATTTAAATACAGAAATTATTTCTAATGAAAAAGGTTACAAAATTGTTAACCTAGAAAACAAAGGCAATGAACAAATATCAAGTAAATAAATAAATCTGTGAAACAAATTTTTTAATTACAGATCTAGGTTTGTAAAATCATTTACGTTCAATTTTTTTTTAATTATAGCTTTTACAAATACAGTTAGTTTTGAGTTATTTTTGTTATTTGAGATATTATTTTTCAGAAAAGAAATTAATACTAAATAAAAAACATAAAGCTATATAAACTTGTGTTTTTTATTGTAATCCCGTTGATTTAAAACAAATTTCATGTAAAATATTCAAATTTATATGTGTATATTGCAAGATTTTACTTCTATTATTTTAATATCATCATATATTCTTAAAAAATGTAATATAACAAACCATTTTAAATTTCGCGGTCAGTGGTACCAACAGAAATTTGAAAAGAAAAATTTCGTTTTCGACGTGTCAGGTTCTTCAAATCAAACGATGATATGTCATGTTTTCCAACGCTATAATCTGAGATCTCATGTTTTTCAACGCCAATTCGAGATATCATGTTTTTACGCCCAGCCATCGAAGTGTGCCCACTGGGTAATTGAAAAATTAACGTACTCTCTTTGTCAAGGTACCCTTTCTTTCAGAATTGAACCGCCGGCGACCAAAAGGGCTTAAGCGTGACTTTCGTTGGCCCCGCGTCCAGCGAGTCTCTAGCTATTCCGGGGACCAATGAAAACCTCGTGTAAACCCTTTTGGTCGCCGGCGGTCCAATTTTATGAGTTTTTAGAAAATGAAACAATTTTAGTTTTAATAATTTTTAAGATTTAAACCGTCTTATATATAGTTATCAAAAAAGCAGTGGTCGCACAAAACCCGACGTTAGTGTCAGGGTCGGCACAGCCTACATTTTTCAGATCTAGAAATTTATTCTTTAAAAGAGAGGGGGAGTCGCTGATGAAGAATTCGGTAAGCATGAGAACGAAAGAGATGAAGATATCTCACTATCTCTTTCGTTCTCATGCTTTCCGCTTTCATGCTGGCGTTTCACGCTGTCATGGGACTGCGTCTTTATAATAAGGGTCTTAATATCCTCCACAGCATCTAAACTGAAAAAGCGGGAATGAAAAGTATGGCGTTTTCAGTCTTCTAATAAAAGTACGGTATAGGAAACACAATTAGTGGTCACAGCTCTATTGGCTCCGGGATGACGGGACGAGGGGGAGACATGAGTGTGAGCGAGAAAGAAAATTTAAATTTTTCTTCTTGCTCACACTCATGCCGCCCCGTCTGCCGAAGGCAGGCAGTAGAGCTGTGACTGTGCGCTATTACTCCTCTCAGCTGATGAGGAGGAGAGGCACCTACATAGAGAAAAAAATCAAACGAATATAATAGAGACAGTAACTATACTACTTTCGCGCGTGCGCTTTCTACGATATTCGTAGAAAAACATACCCAATTTGCAGGGTCCTATACCATAAGAGTATAGATCCCTGCAAATATCGTAGAAAGCACACGCACGAAAGTAGTATAGTTACTGTCGCTACTATATTCGCTTGATTTTTTTCTCCGTGTCAACGAGCAGAATCTTTTATTGTTTACGATCAAAAATATTAAAATATTATTCGAAGACATTCTTGATGAACCGATTTTTTTTGGAATCTTAAAGAAATCACAGGTAAAGGAGCGTTTACATCTCGGCTGCCTGCCTACCTGTGTTATGCCGTACAAAACTGAAAGACCGTAACTTCATTTTTAAATTAGGTTATGTCGACCATTACATTTTCACTTCTATAAAAATATAGAGATTAAAATTTCGATCAAATTTTTCATTATTTCAATTTCTATATTCTTGCAGAAGGAAAAATATATAATTGTCAACATAACATTCCTACGTTCTAATATTTGCCAATGATGTTAAAATTTTTAGAATTGTCAAAGACATTAATGATAAACAAGTCATGCAAAATGATCTTAATCGCACGTTTTTTATGGTCTCAATTAAATAAGTTACTATTAAACATCTCCAAATGCAATATAATAACATTCACGAGATGTGTAAACCCTATTTTTGTTAATTATTCTTTAAATAACATTACTTTGAATAGAGTCTATAATACTCGCGACTTGGGTGTCACATTCGACGATCGATTAAGTTTCATAGATCATATAACGTCTTTGGTTACGTCAGCATCGAGAGCTTTGGGGTATCTTTTCAGAACTTCTAAAAATTTTAATCAACCAAAAACTTTAATTTTACTTCTTAATTCATTTATTCGTACAAAATTAGACTATGCTTCTTTAATTGCCAATTTTTAACTTGACAAATATAATTATTACCTGGAAGCTATTCAGAAGAAATTCCTCAAATATCTCATTTTTAGAATAGAAAAACATTATCCTCCCCATGGTCTGGATTACATTGACTTATGTTTACGATTTGATTTTCGAACTGCTAAACAGCGTACAATTTTTTCCGCATGTATGATTATATTCAAAATCTTATCTTCGCAGGTATATGCTCCAGAAAAAAACTCCCAAAAAAAAAGACCCTGTACAAAGAAAATGTACATTTTCTTGTACATGTTCTTGTACAATTTCATTAAAAAAAATTTTTTTGAAAAAAGTTTGAGATTTTAATAAATTAGAATTATTAAAACCTTTTACTTAAGCATGCCAAAAATTATTGCGCAGCTGTAAAGTCCTAAGAAAACTACTGCGCAGCCTTTAAAGTTTTTAATTTTCACTAAACGAAGACATAAATAAACCTGTACGAGAAAATATACATGTTCTTGTATACAAATATTAAATATATTTTTGTACACGATCTTGTGCAAGATCTTGTTCAAGTTCCAATACAAGAACTTGTTCCAAATTCTGGTGCGGAAATTGTACAAGCTCTTGTACATGTTCTTACCAGAACAGGTACAAGCTCAGCTGCTGAACATGTACATTTTCTTGTACAAGATCTTGTACAGGGTTTTTCAATAGGGACAGAATATGCTAAAGTAGCTCCTTTTTTATGTCTGTTTTCAGATTAATCGCTTAACTGAAAATTTAAAACCTGCGTTGATTTATTTTTCTTGTGGCGTAGCGACTTTACGACGGCCCTTTTATACTTGAATTCCTTGTATTAATAATTTTAATTCTTTCTTCTCCAATATAGTTACTTTGTCTGTTAAAACGTGACAGTGACATTTATAACATTGGAATATGTATTGAAGTTGCCCATTTATGGTCCTATTGGATTGCGGGTGTTGATGTAAAATAAATAAATAAATAAAGTCCCAAGTAGCACGGAATATTGGTTGAATGTCACGGTGATATCAAGTGGGAATATTCCTGTGACATTCATGTAATATTGAGGGGATATCCCTGTGATATTGAGAGAATATTCCTGTTACTTATAAAATTCTAAATTGTTGTTTGTTTTGATTATTTTGAATATTTAAATACAAAAATAAATAAATTGAAAAAAAATAGAAATTTATTTTTAGAATTTTTTAAATTATCTCATCAATATCACTGGAATATTTCTCTGAATATTAGAGGAATATTCCGCTCAATATCAAAGGGATATCCCCCAATATTACATGAATTTCACGGAAATATTCCCTCAGTGCTACTTGGGGTTATTGCAATTGTAAAGCTACCCAAAGAAACCATTGTCTTATGTAAAGTCTTACGTTCAAAAATTTGTATCTCCTAAACTTTTGAGAATACCACTTATTTGTCCTTATAGGTTTTTGTAGTAAAAAATACAAGACAGATTCGTAATCAACGACCTTATAAACCCCCGAGTAAGAAGTTTCAAGCGAATCTAGGCGATTTTAATAAGTTTCAAGCAAATCTGAGTGTATTTTAATTGTTATATTCTAACCACTTTTTAACACTTTTTTAACACTCTATCTTTAAAACAAAATTTATGCTCAACTCTAAACGTTTATGGAATTATTATGGACTATATGTTTAAATGCGAAATTCGAGGGCCCAAAAATGGGCTAAAAAATAGTAGATTTTAGCGTCACTCTTTAATGCAGAATACAAAAAAATTATCACTTTTAATAATTTATATCTAATAAATTTTTTTGTGTTTATTTATATTTCGGATGTAAAACGTAAATATATAAGGTTTTATAAATGTTATTAATAATAGGGCTAAAAAATTATTTTTGAAATTTTTTAGGTTGCAGTCGTATTAAAAATGACAAGTGTAAATGCAGTTATTCGACGGGCAGAAAGGTTAGATTGCGAAGCAATAAGAGCTTTTATACAGGTAAATTATGATACACTATTATGAAGGCATCCCTGGCGGATTGGATACCCTATTGAAAATCCCTGTACAAGATCTTGTACAGGAAAATGTACATGTGCAGCAGCTGAACTTGAACCTGTTCCTGGTAAAAACATGTACAAGATCTTGTACAATTTCCGCACCAGAATTTGGAACAAGTTCTTGTATTGGAACTTGAACAAGATCTTGCACAAGATCGTGTACAAAAATATATTTAATATTTGTATACAAGAAAATGTACAAGAACATGTATATTTTCTTGTACAGGTTCATTTATGTCTTCGTTTAGTGAAAATTAAAAACTTTAAAGGCTGCGCAGTAGTTTTCTTAGGACTTTACAGCTGCGCAATAATTTTTGGCATGCCTAAGTAAAAGGTTTTAATAATTCTAAATTATTAAAATCTCAAATTTTTTTAAATGAAATTGTACAAGAACATGTACAAGAAAATGTACATTTTCTTGTATACAAATATTAAGTATATTTACTTGTACAAGATCTTGTACAAGTTCTTGTACAAGAATTTGTTCCAAATTTTGGTGCCGAAATTATATACAAGATCTTGTACATGTTCTTACTAGAACAGGTACAAGTTTAGCTACTGAACATGTACATTTTCTTGCACAAGAACTTGTACAGGGTTTTTCAATAGGATATTCTAAAAGCTAACCGTGTTCGGTTTCTTTAATAAAAATATATATATATATATTAAATCTTCGGTAAATGTTCGGTTTCTTTAAAAAAAAAATATATATTAAATATCTACACAATATAAAACAATGTATTTTAAAAGGTGAATGAAGGTTATGGAAGAGTCAATTTATATTGGAAATGTAATAATTAATTAATTTCAATAAATTGATATAAATTATGAGGAATTTAATAATTATTCAAAAAAAATATTAAATTTATTAAATTCTATTTGTAAATCTAATAAATTAATAATAATTATAAAAATGTATTTAATTTCGATAGTGTTGTGAAAAAATATATGAAGAAACTTTATTCCCGACTAAAAATGATACTATTAAACTAAATTGCAAACAATGTCGTACATCAAAAATTTTAAAAGGTGATAAATCATTGAAAGCAAAAACTTTTAGGAATTAGAATTTGGAAAGGACAAGTTTTAAAATAACTTTTCAGTATTCTTCTTTATTGTCGCACATGTACAGTATTAACTCAGATAGCACGTAAGCTTGCAGCAACCTTGCGACAAGCTTACCGTGCAAGCTTACCGTGCAAGCTTACTGAGCAATCTTGCGATAATCTTACTATGCAATCTTGCAGTAACCTTACACTGCAATCTTTCGGTAAGCTTACCATGCAAGGTTGGGTTAGGTGGGACATTTAAAGCTAGCTACAAGCTTAAGTGCTGTTTGGGAACACAGCACAATAATATTTCTTAAAACTCAATGTCAATTAATTTTTTTTTATACTTTACAGGAACTAGCTGACTTTGAAAAACTACCTGAAGGACCTAAAATCAATTACAAAGGTAACTAAGGTATTACAATTACTTAACCCTTACGTGACACATGGTGCCATTTTAACCCCAGACAAGTTTGAAATAACATTTTTGAAAATTTCCCGGCGGAAATCAGACAATTTATTTTTGTCTTGAATTAAAATTTTTTTAGATAGCTATAAGGTTTTACCTTCCTATCCCTAATTTTTTTCAAAAAAAATATTGAAAACTTTTGAAGTTTTGTTCAGTTTTTCACGTTGGGGTTAATATGGCACCATGTATTACGTACGTCAGAAAAAGAGGTGTGTCACGTAAGGGTTCAAATTGATTTTATTTATTAATTTATTTTGGGTAAAATTCTGTAAATTATTTTATGAGAAAACTTATTAAGAATGCGTATATGAGAAATCATGTGACCGTATAATTACACACACAGCACCCAAAATTCCAGTGAAACTTGACAGAACCTCACACGTCGAGGTTAGGAAACTTCAGTGGCAAGGTTCATACAAGTTTGTGTCGATGTTTAAATGTCCACATGAAAAGAATATTTACACGAAACTTTGAGGAAATATTACACTATAAATAATAACGTGCAATTTTCAGTCAATGTTGTGTCAATATTCACCTATACTTATTATATTAGTAAACAAAATTTTTATAACTAGGCGAAAATGTAATGTCAATATTGACACAACATTGACTGAACATTGTACGTTTATATTTATAGTGTAATATTTCCTCAAAGTTTCGTGGGAATATTCTTTTCATGTGGACATTTAAACATCGACACAAACTTGTATGAACCTTGCTACTGAAGTTTCCTTACCTCGACGTGTGAGGTTCTGTCAAGTTTCGGGGAATTTTGGGTGCTTTGTGGGTATATGTCCTTAACATAATATATTCCACTGCAGATCTTATAAGAGATGGATTTGAAAGTTCTCCACCCTTATTTATGAGTTATGTGGCAACAATTCAAGAGAAAGTAGTTGGTTATTCCATTTTTTACTATAGTTATTCAACATGGGAGGGAAAATCATTATACCTAGAAGATCTGTACGTCACTGAAGAACACAGAAACAAGGGAATTGGAAGTTTGCTTTTCCAAACTGTTGTACAGGTATTTATATGATATGTTTTCTCAGGTAGCACGTAACCTTGCAGCAACCTTGCGTCAAGCTTGTCGCGCAATATTGTCAACCTTACACGGCAAGATTGCATGGTAAGCTTACCGAAATATTGCAGTGAAAGGTTACTGCAAGATTGCGATAATAAGATTATCGCAATCTTGCATAGTAAGCTAAATGGAGAATTTTAATTAATGGTAGTTCCGCTACTGATAGCACACTTGCATAACAAATTAGGAACGTTATATTGCTGTAAGCTTACCTTCCCACGTGGAAGCGTTACCGGTAAAATCCGCGGAAACTCCGCGGAAATTCCGCGGATTTTTCGCAAATTTTTTTTACCGGTAGTTTTGTGCGGAACAAGTAAAAATTAAGCACTATGAAGTCATAAATGGTCCACCGGGTATCCAGATGAATGCAGGTCAACATCTTTAGGGAGATTATTTTATTAATTAACGAAGATATTACATCAGGAAATCACCATTGTCTGGATCAATTCAGGCCAACATCTTCAGGAAAGTTTACCTCAAATAGTGAAAATAATACACTAGGAAGTCAATAAATTTCAGGTAGATCTTGATAAACTTTTTCTTGGAGGATTCTAGAAACGAAAATTAAAATTTCCAAGAGTTTCTCGAAAATATTTTAACGTCAGACGACTTGAACTTGAACTTGGAAGTTTTACCGACAAAATAGGTAAGTTTATTAGTATGCCCTGTATACAATAGGTGATTTTCTAGTACTTTTTTCAATATTTGAAATTAATTTCTTCGAAAACGATGACTTGAATCGATTCGGAAAGTAGGCTATTTTCTGGTGTATTTTATTACTTTTTAAAGCTAATTTTCCCGAAGAACTTGACCTGGACCTACCCGGAACTTTCTTAACTTCCTGGTGTATTATTTCCACTATTTGAGGTAAGCTTTCCCGAAGATGTTGACCTGAATTGATCCAGACAATGGTGAATTCCTGGTGTAATATTTTCGTTAATTAACACAATCTCCCTAAAGATGTTGACCTGCATTCACCTGGATACCCGGTGGACCATTTATGATTTGCCAGTGCTTAATTTTTACGTATATCGCACAAAATTACCGGTAAAAAAAATTTGCGGAAAATCCGCGGAATTTCCACGGAATCTCCGCGTAGTCACTCCGCGGACTTTCCGCGGATTTTACCGGTAACGCTTCCACGTGGGTTAAGATATTCATCAAGTTCATATGTAAGCTCTAGGTAACCTGTTGAAACAAGGGGAATGGTGCTCTGCGCCGATTGCGCTATGAGGAGAAACCAATTCCTAGATAGGAAATTTTATTAAAAAATTTTAACGGCGAAGAACTAGGTGCATTTCAAACACCAAAATTCGATTTATGTGTGCCTATTGCAAGAAGGAAATATATTACTCATTTATTGACTTGGAAAATTGTTTGAGGTGCAGATCTCTTTATATCCATAAATGGAAATAATCTTGCAGATATAAACAAACATATAAATTATATAAAATTCGATTTTTAAAAAAAATCTCTTATTTCTGTCCTTTTCGTCACGTTAAGTCCATGGCCATATTTATTATTATACTCCACTATTAGCTAACCTAGACCTTATACATGAACTTCACGAATGTCTTTTATACACTGAGAAAAATATGCTATTGAATCAACAGCATTTCTGTCAAAGGTATAAAAATTATTGATTCAAAAGCACATGTTATAAATAAATAATTAAAATGACTTTATCACTCGGTCGATATTAAATAAAAAAACTTGAAGATAACGATCACTCCGAGTCAAGGCAAACAAAAGAAAACAAAACTATTCCCTTTTACGTTTCAGCAGCACCGCTGCCCTCTTCAGAAACTACAAATTTTTATTATCGAATAATTAAAATTTTTTACAATATATAATTTAAAAAGTACAGTATTAACAAAAAGGTTTTTTTACCAATAAAAAAGAAAAAAGAAAATTTTTTTTCAAGTAATTCATTTGAGGATGAAATACTTGGAGAGGAAGAGACGTCTGTACGATAGCTAATCTATCTAAACACTGAGTAGAAGTACGTGGCTTGACAATTTTATAATGAAGGGGTCAACGGACTGTCAGTAAACAAAATTACAAATATATAATAGGTGTTTCGGTTAATAATGTCGATTTTTTTGCAGGATTTGGGCGTTTATCTAAATGACGAAAAATATTACCTTAATAATCAAAATATTGTCCATCGTTTGCTATGACTTTCTCCCATCTTTCTGACAAATCATGGATTCCTTTCCAAAAGAACTGTTCACTTTTTGAGGCCAACCATTTATCGAGCCAAATTTTCACTTCTTCGTAAGAATGGAAATGTTCTTCTGAAAGTCCGTGCTGCATCGATCGAAATAAGTGGTAGTCCGAAGGGGCCAAGTCCGGTGAATACGGCGGGTGGGGTAGTACGTCCCATTTAATGTTTTCCAAATAGTTTTTCACACTTTTCGCAACATGAGGCCGGGCATTGTCATGTTGAAAAACGACTTTGTCGTGTCTTTGAGCATATTCTGGTCGTTTTTCCTTTAATGCTTTGTTTAATTTTATCAATTGTTGCCGGTACCGATCGTCAGTAATCGTTTCACCAGGTTTTAGCAATTCATAATACACGGCACCCTTGTTAATCCCACCAAATACACAGCAATGTCTTTTTTCCATGTATATTGCGCACTGGTTGTGATATTGAAGGCTGGCCTGGGTCAACCCATGATTTTTTTCGCTTTGGGTTGTCAAAATAGATCCACTTTTCATCACCTGTCACAACTCGATGTAAAAAACCTTTTCTTTTCTGTCTGGCAAGCAGAATTTCACAAATGGTTTTTCGCCTTTCAATGTCTCTTTCTTTTAATTGATATGGAACCCACTTTCCTTCCTTCTGGACCTTTCCCAATGCGTGCAAACGTTCGGAAACAGTGGATTGGGCAACGTTCAATGCATTTGCTAACTGCTTCAACGTTTGAGTTGAGTCTTCATCCAATAAAGCTTGCAAATCTGCGTCTTCAAACTTTTTCGGCTGACCTGACCGTTCCTTGTCTTTTACATCGAAATCACCAGTTTTAAATCGTTGAAACCATCGTTCACAAGTTTTCTGGGTTATAATATGTTCACCATAAGCTTTAACTAACAATCGATAACTTTCAGCAGCCGTTTTCTTCAAATGAAAGAAGGTTATTAAACTTCCCCGCAAAACGGCTTTTTCCGGCATGTAACTTGACATTTTCAAAGCTATACAAAACTATGTTTTGTGCACAATGACAATTAAGAACAAACTGGTTTTTAATGATATATGTCCAACATTAAAAACGCTATAGACATCAAAAGCCTGTATCAACGCACATGAGTAACTCAATTTTTTAGGAAAATCGACATTATTAACCGAAATACCTATTATATATAAGTAAGAGAGCTGTCAGTGCACATCAAAACAGGTGGCTAAACAGACTTCTTATCGTTGAGGAAATAAATGTAACTATTATTGAGATTTTGAGTGTCTTCCATTTTGTTAATTGGTTTCTTTTGCAAATTAATATGAATCATCTCAGATATCGAACGTTTGTTATAATCAATTTCTCTATCATATCTTTATCATATGTTATAAAATTTGTGAAATATTTTATAGATTCTATAGCATGTGCTTTTGAATCAATAATTTTTATACCTTTGGCAAAAATGCTATTGATTCAATATATATTTTTCTCAGTGTATATGCTCAAACTAAGCTAACAACAATATAATGTACCATGTGGGTAGAATTAAAAAATATAACAATTTTTTAATTTAAATTACAGTTTGCAGTGGAAAACAAATGTAGCAGGCTGGACTTTTCCGTTTTGAAGTGGAATCCAGCGAAAGAATTTTATTTAAAAAAAGGTGCAGTTAATATTACAGGATCTCAGGATTGGCAATTTTATAGAATGGACCAACAAGCATTACAAAGTATATATAAATCCAAATAGTGCAGCCTTGACTCGTCAAGTATTGTGTTTTTATCTATTCGAGTAAAAAAAAGTTGGATAGCACGGTACGGTATTACTTATAGCAGCGCAGTAGCTTGAATATAGAATTTGACTTTTTTCATATAGAACCGTTTGGTGCTATATGGAATTATAAGAAGGTCCTATATGGACAACTTTTATGGATGGTTTAGATAAAAAATACCACTTAAAAGTACACAGTTATAAATGCAAGATTGCATTGCATTAAAACTAAAATTATAAATTAAATGCAAATTTTGTAGAAAAAAGTAAATATTTCTTGGTTCATATTTGATAGTAGAAATGAGTAACTGTATTTTCTCTTTGGAACGGTAAGTCCAAGAAATATTTACTTTTTCTACAAAATTTGAATTTAATTTATAATATTAGTTTTAATGCAATAAATTAATAACCTTGCATTTATAACTGTGTACTTTTAAGTGGTATTTCTTATCTAAACCAGCCATAAAAGTTGTCCATATAGGACCTTCTTATAATTTTATATAGCACCAAACGATTCTGTATGAAAAAAGTCAAATTCTATATTTAAGCTACTGCCCTGCTATATGGAATACCGTATCGTGCTATCCAATTTTTTTTACTGGGATATTAAGGCATTATCCCTAACAGCAACGGATATTTCTAGATATCCTATAGACGTCCTGAGGATATTATTTGGTCTGGGGAAATTAGGATATCTTTAAGATGTACCAGGGATATCCCTAGGACGTCCATAAGACATTCTGAATATCTGAATGTTGTTAGGAAAATTCTTCAATATACATATATCTGTTAACTAAATATTATGCAATGGAATTTTTTAAACCTACCTTACTTTGTTGTTTACTGTGAATTCCATTCATTATTGGTTTTATACGATTAATCTCAGGAATATAATAAAATCTTGCTGTCTTCTCAATCTCTATACTTTTTTTAAAATATTTGCATTAACAAGTTAACATTATATTTTTGGCTAAATGCAAAGAAAAACCTATTGTTTTTGTAACAATTGTCGATATCTGATCTTGTAGATAAATACGAACGTTAGATGTCTCAGGAAATTAAAACATTTTGAATTTTTTGTAAACCCTGACGTTATTGTACCTTTAGATGAACAGCCTCTTAAATATCACAGTACAAACAATTCAAAGCTACGGTCTCTAAGAAAAACAAACTTATTGTGCTAAATGAGATAATTATGTTGGAGAAATTGAATTATTAGTTGATCAGACTAGACAATGTCGGCAACCTTTATTTGTAAGCTTACCACAACCTTTCCCAGTTGAAAAAATTTGTACAAGGCCATGTACATTTTCTTGAACAAGATCATGTTTATGTACATTGAAGTGAACATGTACACTACCGTCAGAAATTGTCGGTACGCCTGACTTACGAGGAGAAGATATTTGATGCTGACTTTAAAGCAAGATATTTTAAGTTAGAAAAAAGTTAGAGAATTTCTGCGTCTGAATGTATATCAAGAATTTTTTTTAAATTTTTGGAGCGATTGTAACACCGAAATGATTCCAAGACAAAATTATATAATTTTCTTACTTTCGTACTAAAGTTTTTGACTCATGGCATAATCTAGAATAATCGTGCATTATAATTTATATGAATTGTGTTTACACATGTTACCATACAATAATCGTGCATAATTTTGAAACTTAAAAATGTTTTGTGGTTCCTGAAATATGTTCAAAAAGGTCCTGTTAGCTTGTAGAAAAACAAGCTCGACCATTTTTTAACATATTTCAGGAACTACAAAATATTTTTCAAGTTTTCAGAAATGCAAATTAAAGCTAACTAAATATTAGTTGATATTATAAGGTAAAAAGATTTATTTCTCAACTCTTAAAACATACACTTAAATTTATGTAAGGTAAGTAAAATTTGTTTTTAATGTTACTTGAAGTAAAAGATATTATTTTCAAATGGAAGTATATATGGTACCGCCTATGTTATTTCCTATATTAAATCCTGTTTCCCTTTCCTATACGAATTTATATGGGATCCTATAAAAATTCCTATAAAATTCAGGGATTTTATATAATATTTTTTTTCGCCATTGACATGAAAAAGTGTCTTTTTTGTGCCTGTTTTGGGCAGATAAAGTAGCACTTTTCAAGGCAGTTTGGGTCAACTGCCTAAAAAAGACTTTTTTAGGCAGTAATTTTTATTATTTTATATACTATTTCATATATATTATATATGTATATTATATTTTCTATATATATATATATATTTCTTTAAAATTGTTTCACTTTTTCATAACAATAGCGAAAAAAAACGTATGTATGTGGCTCGCACGTAGTAATTTTTAGGTTCGGATGATTTCAATACTCGCTGTCTGTGCGACTTCGGTTCGACTTGGCTCGCTTTCGGCTCGTCTTCGTCTCACCTACGTCGCACTAACGACAGCTCGTACTGAAAATTACATCCTCACCTAAAAAGTACTACTTTACGTGCTTGCCACATAATATACTATTCTGGGAAATTTTATCGGGTCCTATATAGGATCCAACATGAGGATTTTCAATAGGGGAGGAAACAGAAAAATTCGGCGACACAAAAGTGTCAAACATATTTTACCATTATTAAGTAGAAAAAAGACACGAATAAATAGAAAAAATAATTAAAAATCGAGTCCACGTATATAACATGTGAGAAAACATACAAAATCGTGTGATTTAATTTTATAATTATAAAAATTTTTTAATTAAATTTACATATTTGATTTACAGATAACGATTTTAGAAAAATATATTTAACTTTGTTATCTAAGTATAGTTCACCCTAATGTTGTATTTTTACTAATTTCTTCAGATTCCTCCATAATTTCTACATAATCTTTTACATCATTAATAAATCTTCTTAAAAATTTGTGGTCCTTTTTTACATTTACAATCAGTTGCTTCACTACACTTGTACTGAAAAATAAAATTTTTAAAAAGGTTTTAACAAATTTGAATATATAATATTTAATCAATTTGCAACTAAACGTATTTACACTTTAATTTTGATTTAGGGCAAATCTCTGAAAAAGGACAAATCCAAAATTATGGCGGACGAATTTTTAAAAATTAATTTGACCCATTTGAAACTCGTAACCTGGGGGTTTCGAGGTTACTAATTACGAATTTGATGTTAGTTTTTCAATATTCAAAATTTCGGATCCAATATGGGAGATAAAAATTTTAAATATTCATTGGATTCACTTGAAACTTGTTACATGGATTTTTTTGGATCGTTGATTACGAATATTGGAGCTGAAGGATTCTAGAAGAGCACGTAAATTTTTTTGGCCGGAAAACGAAGTCCTCTGGACACTCAAAATTCATTTTTCGAATTTTAATATTTTTCGAGCATATTCTTATACAGAATTCGATTGGGCATCTTTTTTTCTTAATAAAAAAATTTCCATCTTTTTCCGGTTTCGAAATATAAGAGAAAAACTGATTTTTTGGAAACGTAAAATTTAATTGTTTTTTTGACTTCAACTCGCGCTAGCTCAGTCAATTTTACGAGTTTTTCAATGAAACAAAAACAAAAATACGCGTTATTGTATTCTACACGGAGAGAAATCTGTTACTAATAACGCATTAGCAGTCCGTTCGAAAATAGCACAGACACAACCTTGCGTAAATTGCAAGAAATCCATGCTGATTTTTCATGGCTTCTGAGCAAAACTCGCACAAGCTGTGAAAAATTAGAACAAGTCTTTGCGATATTAGCAAACGAAGCTCATTCGTAACAGATTTCTCTCCGTGTACAAGTGACTAAAAAAAAAGTTGTTTTGATTAAAAATAAAAAAGTTATTAATTTTTTATTGAAACATTGCGAAATTCGTGAAGTGCAATTTTCTCAATGCGGTGAAGTTCGACAAATTTTCAGCAGCAACAAACTTACAGGGAGAAAGTTGTTCATTAAGTCCAAAGAAGTTTTCTGGATAGTTACAATGCAATTGAACAATTAATAACAAAATAGTGATTGTTTAAACTTTGAAGTTGCGCGAACGGCTGAACGTTTGGCATGTGTTTGCTACGTAATAATTCAATCGAAAAAAAGATGCGCAATCGAATTCTGTATAAGAATATGCTCGAATAATTTTAAATTGGAAAAATTCAAAATGTCAATTTTTTAAAAATTAATTAGATCCGCCACAAAATTTAATCCATTTAACCGAATTTTCAAATATTTTTTTCGACATATTGGATCCGCCATTTTGAATTTAAAAAACTAACATTAAATTCATAATCAGCAACCCCAAAAACCTTGAGTAACAAGTTTCAAGTTTATTTATCATTTATTCAGCAAAAAAACTGAAAAGGTATATTGGCGGTTATGGAGTGGAACTTTTGCTCCTTTGGATAACGTCTAAATGGATTATTTATAATAATAAGAAATATATGATTTTTTAATCAAAACGTTAACAATCTTTGCAATATTTCATACAAATTGTAATAATATTATTAGAATTATGTATTAATATTTATTATTTACTTAACAAAAAGCTGAATATGTATACTAGTCACGGAATTGAGTTTTATTCTTCTCTACTTCCAAAATATATTGATTTCAGTGTTAAAAGAAAAAATTTTTTAAACAATCTGTGAATAGTATTTGCATTACTTTATTCAAATAAAAAACTTTTGTAAAAATTATTAATAATAAAAAAAATCTCATTTATACTGAATATTTTCTTTTCTTTCATCTTAATTTGCGCTGACCTTAAATCGCAAATTAATTCTTAAAAATAGAAATTGAAATATTTTGCCTTAGCTATTCTAGAATCGATTAAAATAAAGAATAATTAATCAATATTGCTGGACAAATGATAAAATTAGATTTGAAATTGAAACTAATATTTATTCTTTAAGTAAAATAAGTTTCATGCACGGTAACGGAATGGAGTTTTTGCACCATATGAATATGAATATTTCAGATACCTAATATGAAATTTCTATTTTTTTCTCATATAATCTGATTTAATAATGTTAAATACTATCATATGGCCGTAATTATTTTTATTTATTTTAAATATTTTTTAGAAAAAATGCCTTAAACGTGTTATTTGTCCTTTTCTAGAGAATGACCCTTTAAGTTTTTTAAATTTCAAAAAAAAATTATTACCACCGTATTTAAGTCAAAGAATAATTTTAAAACATATTTACTCACTTTATACTACCTGAAAAGCACACGACATCAACATCATCTATTTCAATTTCATCAAATGGTTTTATATTTAATGACAATTTTAATATTATTGACATTCTTTTAGTCCGTGTCATAAATGATACTCTACAAAAAGAATATATTACTTGTAAATTTTTTTGTTATTTATATATTTTGAATTACAAACTATTTTTAATTATATTATTCATTACATCAAAAATAATGAGTGATTTAAAAAAAACATGTACCGTTTACTATTAACCTCCATCAGATGAAGGTTTTTTAGTTTCTGAAGTTCGAACATAAAATCTAAAGCCAATTTTACTTCCTTTGCAATTTCTTCTAACAATGGAATAATATCATCAAACAGTTTATAAGTCTCTATTAAGAGTTCTGGACGTAGTTTTTTAATTATTAAGTCGTGAACCATTTGCATTAAATCGTTTGACGTTGCTATAAACAAAAAAAATTTCAACTTTAAATTAGTCATATTTATTTATAAAAAATCAGTCAGAGTAGCATGCACATAGCGCCTTCATGAAAAGGGTTTTGTGGCTCTTATATTAATTTTAATTGCAAACCATTACGTGATTTGTCTTTGGCGTTAGCTGATTCAGGAGTTAAGTATAAATTCTAATGCCCTATTTTGTAGAACAAAATAAGGATTATCAGCATTTTAATTTTGATTACCCACTTGTAATGATTCCGTTCACTTAAAGGCTCCGACAACCAGAGCGATACCACAAACTCTTCGGAGACGCTCTCAATTTTTTCTTCTGATAGACTTATCATCTGACTAGAGCATACGCGTCTTAATACCTCATCAAATATGGCTCATGCAATAAACAGCACCTCGATGCTTCTATGCAATTAATAAAATCTTTGAATTTGGACAAAGACAAGCTTCAATCGACATAAGAAAATACAACAATTAACAACAATAAAGACTACGGCAATTTAATAAGAACAAGAGGTGATGCACTAAAGTCACACTTAAATAGTCAAACAGTTGAAAATCTTGTTAAATAGAAAAGAACAGCAAATAGAATTAAAAAGGCAATCAGAAAGATTAAATCAGAGTCACTTAAACAATTCTGTGAAGACTCAAACTTTGCGAAGGGATTGTCTAATATCTGGAGGGCGGTCAAAGTCATGATGTCAAAGACGGGAGTGAATGCTAGCAGCATCTATAACAACGGAAGATAACTCGGAACTAACTAAACTTAAAGACAATCTGATTAGAAAGGATATCCCCCGAGGATTCACATGTTATTACCTGTCAAGGACGGAGATCATATGTTGAATAAACCATTTTCCATGACCGAATCCAAAGCAACTCTAGCTTCATCTAACGCCAACTCTGCACCTGGGTTGGACTCGATCTCCTATGACATTCTTCGTAAATACCCGGATTTTTGCAATTCGAAATTTTGTACAATTATAACGAAATGTATCTCGCAGGCAGTTATCCGGACTCATGAAGGAGGACTCTAGTTAGATTCATACCAAAGGGAAATGATGGTTACCGTCAAATCTCAAATCTATCAGAAACCATTGACTGGCTACCCGAGTACCAATTGGGCTTCCGCAGAGGAAGATCTTTACCAGATGCGGTCTCTTTTTTGTAATAGATGAATACTGTACTTTTTTGAGAAATGAATCAGTGACAGCTCTGGCTCTGGATATTAAGGGTGCTTTTAATGCCATACTTCCAGAAACAATAATCCGGGAACTTATTAATTTTAGAGTACACTCGATTAATCAACTTTGTTAGCTTCATGATATCTGAAACATATTTCAAACTTCTCGATCAATCAAGAGCAACCTTTCGTTTCAGATGTAGGAGTACCTCAGGGAAGTATATCATCACTCTTCCTCTTCAATTTGGCACTCATATCAATAAGGGATCACCTTCTACGAGAGACAGGGGTAGTAATGTATGCAGATGAAATCCTACTCTATACCTCGTCATTCTGTATTGTCACTTCCAAAACAGTCGTTGTTGACGCCTTTCGACAGGCCACTGATTGGCTTTAGGGTTTCGGTCTGGAGATATCTATCCTCAAAACCCAATTCATGGTATTCTCTACATCCAATAAGATTAACCAAAAAAATTTTTAATTGATTTGAATAACCTAACAATTTTTGGCCTTAAAGAAATAAAATATACCTATCTAATTATACTAAGAAATTTCCTTTGGACCAACTAGTCATCATCTCTTCCTTTAAAACTACACGAGGTATAAGGGATATGATCTGTACAAAAGAACTGTCGTCATACTTCGATTTATCTTGGCAACAAATTTTATCCAAACAATCAGTCGATGTCAGTAAGAGCATCATAATAGGAGAATCAAATCATCCAGAAGAGACGTTCCAAGAACTTGTGCTAAAAACACATTCTCAGTACGTAGTCACCTTCACGGACGCATCATTTATTCTTGTAACATTTAGAGTGGCAATATCTTTTTTTATTCCCCAATCTAATACTCGCTTTGGACTGAGGATCTAAGCCTTTCATTCAATTCTATCATTAGAGAGATTGGCAATTCGGGAGGACATACAATTCGCAATCTTGGCACAAATTAGGAGTATCATAATTGTCACACGGATTATGGGGAAGCAATTAGAGACCTATCCAATCCGATTATAGTGAAATACAAGACCCCTTCGGACCTACTCGAGATTACCAATCTGCCAGATCAGTTTATCAGTATTTAAATTATTTTTCAAACATGTAAATATTGAAATGTATAAATATAAAATATCAATAATAAAAAATATATGAAAGATGTAAAAAACATAAATATATATATATATATATTTATAACTGTTCGAAGGGCGGTTAGGGGAAGAAATTACAAATGTAAAGGGCCCCCACTACCACGTGTGTGTGTTACGGCTTGGGACTTCTTTATAAGCTCTGTGACATTTTCCTATTGAGCGAACGTCAAAAATTATCGAAAGCTTATAAAGAGGTTGTTGATTATATTTTTACCGGCTCAAAGTGGGGGACTTGTCGAGAACTCAGCTGTCCTTGAAGCTTATAAAGAAGTTGGGCTCTTTGTAAAATTTAGAATTGAGTACCTAGGATAAAAAAATATAGTGAATTAAAAAAAATAATAATGTGGAAAATAATATTCAAAAATAAATAAAGAAATTTAAGAAGCAATGTAACAAGACAATTTTCTCAAATAATCAAATTCTTGATTATTTTGGCAGCAATTTGAAAACATTTGAGTAGTTGCTGTGGCAACATTCTACTTCGAAAATATGTCGATTCACACGCGGTGCATTTCAAATTTCTCATTCGGTAAAATATTTTTTTTCGAGATATTTGACATTTGGTAATTTAGTTTTCGGAGACTGAGAGTGATGTCTCCCCTTCATACAGATGTCGTCATTAAGTTAAGAAAATTAATTTTTACCTGCAATTAAAGATTTAATCTGGATACTTTTGATATCTCTAAATGTATTATTGCTCAGCCGATTTAATTTAATTACAACCACAAGAGATTTAGAAATATAGTCAATTGACAGCTTCTCTTCATCTAAAGATCGTATACTCCATATACAATCATTCCTAAAATAAAGAAAGATATATTACTTTTTATGAGGCTTAAGTAATAAAAATGAAAACACATTAACTATAAGACATTGTTGATTTTTAAAAATATAAAAACATTCATTAATTTACATTTAATATAAATACACTTAAACATAACCATTTTTTTAAAAAAAAATTTCAAAAAGCTACTACTTTTTACGAAACTTTTAAGCCTATCCCATAAAATCGAAAAAAAGGTGGGACGTATATGTCCGACTGCTCTCATATTAAATAAAAGTTTAAATTTACCTTTCGGCGTAAGACTTGATGTTGTTTACCAAAAGATGAAAAGGTTCTTCGGCTTTCGGCTCATCTTCAGTGTTTTCAATAATTTTCGAATTTTCATTTGAAATATGTATATTTTTGTGATGTACAGTTTTTTCTGGTACACGTATTTTCTTTAAAGATTTAACTGTGGACTCAATTTTCTGTTCAATTTCATTTATTTTAGTAAATACACATTTGTATTTGCATGAAATACTTTTCACATCTTCAGTTATTTGTGTTAAACGTTCAAAATGAGTATCAGTTTCTTTATTTATAACAAAAGTTCTTCTGGAGTCACTCTTTTTTAAAATATTTCTTGCAGCGCCAATTAATGGTATAAGACCTCCATATTGAGTTTCATTTTCCTTACTCATAACAAATGTTCTTCTGATTTTTTCCAACATTTCATCTTGTTTTCTATTGGTATTTATTAAATTTTTCGATTCATTTGCTCCGCAAGACCTTTTAGTGTTCAATACCTTTTTCGAACCATCTAATTCAATGTTGCATGACATTTGTTGTGCAGAATTTTCAATTTGATTACTTTCATCAAAAAATAAAAAAGAAGGTGGTTCTACGTGTTCTATCAATTCATTTTCATCAGTTCTTAAGATATTATTATGACCCTGGATTGTTGTGTTTTCATTCGAATTCTCTAAATTTGTTGAATTCACTTTTGAAATAACTGGTTGATTAAATGGATATTTTACAATTTCAATTTCAGAAGTCTTGGAAACTTGCTCGTCATTATGCAGTAAAACATTTACGTTGTCCATTTGAGAGTTGAAATTGTCAGTATCCTCATTTTTTTCATTCACATTAGAAATTTCAATAACTTCAGTTTCGGACATGTTTAGTAAGGATTCACGAGACGGTGATGAAGAAGGAACAGAAACTGGAGACACTCTTGCTTCAGTGATGAAATCGTTTTCTTGATTCGTTTTTGATTCTTCTGTATTAATTTGGATAATATTAACAGTCATAGTATCTGTCTCTGGATTACAGTATTGAAGTATGGGCTTCGTTATTTCCATGCTTGTAATGCTATCTTCACTTCTTCGGAGTATGTCCTCAAAATCATTTCGATTAGAATTTTGAAATATCGATTCATTTTTTGCATCTGTTATTTTTTCCATGTCGAGATTTGATAATTTTCTTCTTTTGTTTGTTAAATGACCTGCATCAGAAGTATCAAAGCTATTTTCATTTGTTGAAACTGAATTATCAACATTCAATTCACAGGATTTATTTTGAAACGTTCTTGAACTTGACGAAGGATCGATTTGATCCTGATTTTTCTCCTGTGATATTTCATTTATATTAATAGATTCTGTAGATCCATTTTTCAATAATATTGTAGAAGTAGAAGGAGGAATAGAATCAACGATATCAGAGGGTAATGAACTATCTGTTGAAACTGATAATGTTTTTGATTGAAAGACATTTTCATTTTGAGAACTTGCTGGCACAATGGCAGTGAATTCCATAGAATTTCTAAAAATCTTATTATTCTCGTCATTTTGCTGAATTTGCAAAATATTGGGTACATTAAAGTGTTTTGACATTGAAGATGAATTAACAACTTCAAATTCTTGAGATGATTGTTGATTTTTATTAGTTGAAATGTTAATTTCATCATTTTTATATTCGAAATTCCTTTGAATAACATTAGTAAATTCCATAGATTCATTTTGAGACACTAAATTATTATTCGTAACTACTGATTGAACGTTGTTGAAAATATGACCTGATGATTCTTGTGAAAAGTTTTGAAAATGATTTCTTTCTATTATTGGCATAGAAGGTATTGCAGATGTCATTTCCATAGATAAATTTGGATTTTTCAATGGTTCTAAAGATATTGCTGATGTTATCTCCATAGACATTTCGTTTAATTTCGTTTCGTTATTCAATTCAGGGGAGTTCTCATAATCCAATTCCAATGTCAGTTCCATACTACTCTCTTGATTGTTATCTAATTGTTGTTGATTTAGATATATGCTGTTGGGAACTGCTTCAGTAAATTCCATGGATAAATTTTCATTTGATTTATTAGATCTTTCATCTTCACAAGAATGAACATAAATATTTTCTTTGTCATTTTGAGGAACACTTGACAAAACTTTAGTAAAGGTCATTGTTTCGTTGTCGCAAATAGTTTCTCGAAAAACAATTTGTGAAGAGGTGGACAACGAGATATTTTTATTTGTCAATGTGTCTTTCTCAAATTGAGGCATTGCACTTAATTCACAGTGGACTTCTTCAAATTTATAAAAGTTAACGGATTGATTTTCTTTATCTATTGATAGGACTGAAGATTGTTGAACTGTACTGTGCGTTATTGAGACGGGATCTAGACTTCCTTGACGTTGATTTTTTAGATTACTAGAATCACTTTCCTCATAAGTACTGTCCCACACAATTCCTTGATCGACTGAATCACAAAATTCTCTTAAAAAAGAAAAATTAAAGATGTAAAATTTTGTGATAAACGTGGGAACATTTTTTTGCTTTAAATTCTTACTTAACGCGCTTCTTTTCTGCAAAACTAACACGTCTTTTGGAATTATGAGCTGGTTTTACTTCAGGAAGACCTGGACTTTCAACAATTGTCTGGAAAGGTTGGCGTTGTTTTGGTAGTTTGAGAATCTAAAAGAAATAAAAAGAAACAAGTTGTAAATTCAGATGTTCATTACATGAACATTTTGCTTCCTCTTTACGATCAGCAAAAAAATTTGCTTCCTCGTGGAGAAAGCAAAATTTTATAGCCAAAATGTGAATTTTTGATTTTTTAACTTTCATTAATTCTTTAAATTTACCTCAAATGTATACTTTATATATGAGGCAAAATTCCTGAAATGTCCGAACAAAAAATTAAAAGTTCTCGAATTTAATCCATACTTTTCTAAAATGTTGTTATTGTTGGTGAGAGTCTAAAAATCAATTATTATTGAATTTAATAAAATAGTTTTTGAATTACAACGTTTTTAATTTTTGACTTTTGAAAAAAAAAATTTTTTTCAATGTACAATATTTATAAGTAGAATGCATAAAAGTTAACATATATATAATGATTTTTAAAGCTTTTTTGACGGGCTACACGCTGTTAATAAAAATTTTTTTTTTTAAATAACATTTGACCTTGAAATTCAAGGTCAAAATGTTAATTTACGTTTATCTCAAAATCGGATTTTTTAAAATTATTTTTAACTATCTCAATGGAAAGCTTGACTAATTTCCTACAAAACATGTAATTTTCAGAGTGGGATCTTTTAAAGTTTTTGAGATATTAATTAATTAATTAATTAATGTTTATAACAAATGAAATATTTTACAAACGAATAAAGTTACCGTAATTCTGAAGTTAGTAATTGAAAGTTAACGTAATTCCGCATCCAACGATCCCTATATGAAGTATTTTGGATAAGTAGATTGTTAATAAACAATTAGTTAACATTGCAATTGTTTATTAACAATCTACTCATCCAAAATACTTCATATAGGGCTCGTTGGATGCGGAATTAGCTTAACTTTCAATTGGTTAGTTTAGATGTACGATAACTTTATTTGTTTGTAAGATATTTCATTTTTTATTGTTATTTAACTAAAATTGAACAAAAATACTTCATATTGGGCTTTTGGATGCTTGTTGTTAGTAAAAAATAAAATATTTTACAAACAAATAAAGTTATCGTAAATCTAAACTAACCAATTGAAAGTTAAGCTAATTCCGCATCCAACGAGCCCTATGTGAAGTATTTTGGATGAGTAGATTGTTAATAAACAATTGCAATGTTAACTAATTGTTTATTAACAATCTACTTATCCAAAATACTTCATATAGGGATCGTTGGATGCGGAATTACGTTAACTTTCAATTACTAACTTCAGAATTACGGTAACTTTATTCGTTTGTAAAATATTTCATTTGTTATAAACATTAATTAATTAATTAATTAATATCTCAAAAACTTTAAAAGATCCCACTCTGAAAATTACATGTTTTGTAGGAAATTAGTCAAGCTTTCCATTAAGATAGTTAAAAATAATTTTAAAAAATCCGATTTTGAGATAAACGTAAATTAACATTTTGACCTTGAATTTCAAGGTCAAATGTTATTTAAAAAAAAAATTTTTTATTAACAGCGTGTAGCCCGTCAAAAAAGCTTTAAAAATCATTATATATATGTTAACTTTTATGCATTCTACTTATAAATATTGTACATTGAAAAAAAATTTTTTTTTCAAAAGTCAAAAATTAAAAACGTTGTAATTCAAAAACTATTTTATTAAATTCAATAATAATTGATTTTTAGACTCTCACCAACAATAACAACATTTTAGAAAAGTATGGATTAAATTTGAGAACTTTTAATTTTTTGTTCGGACATTTCATGAATTTTGCCTCATATATCGAACGATTCGTCTTAACGTAAGGAATACAATTATTTCATATATAAACTTCAATTTAAAATATCACAAAATTTTATAGCTAAAATGTGAATTTTTTATTTTTTAACTTTCATTAATTCATTAAATTTACCTCAAATGTATACTTTATATATACCGATCGATTCCTCTTGACGGAAGGAATACGATTTTATTATATATAACCTTAAATTTTTCTATTTAAAAATTTTTTCGATTAAAAAAAAATTTTCGGAAAAAAGACGATAAAATTTTTTTGGCGTATTTTTTAAAATCCTTTGGTCAAATTTGAGATATTAATATGATAAATGAGCCTACCAAATTTTATCTAAATCCATTAAAATCTGTTAAAGTTATCTTCTAAACAAAAAAGGGATCCACACACACACACACATCCGGACAATTGATCAGGATCTCATATAACCTATTTCTATATAGAAAAAAATTTGTTTCCGACACTTTGAAAATTTTTATAAACGAAAGGACTACAAAGCTTCCTCCACGAGGAAGCAAAAAAAAGTCGTTTTAGTCGATTTGCATTCCCAAAAAAAGTCTAAAAAGTCGATTTTTTTTATTTTAATTAAATTTAATTAGTTAATAAATATTTTACTTTAAATAACTAATGTTACTAGATATTAAATTCATTATATTAAATCCTTAATATGTAAGAATATTATCAAGAAAATTTATTTTGAATATTTTAGAATCGAATTAAGACAAATTTTCAAAATTTTAATTAAGTAGAATAAATTTCTAAAAAAAAATTTTAAAGTTCCATTTTTTATATTTTTTGAAGTTTGATTGAGTAATTTATTCGAATTAAAAATTTTGCATAGTTTTTAATTTTAATGGTAAAACAAATTTCGGACAATAATTAAGTTTTATAGATTTTTAAATTTCTTTTTTTTAAATAATGGAATTGCGAAAGGTTTTAAACTTGAAACAAATTTTCTGCAAATTTAAATTGCTGTACCTAGTTTTTTTTTAATTTCTGACAATTCAATTATCGAGTTGTTATTTGAAACTTTTTTAAATAATTGAATTTTTAGAGAAAAATTATTCAATATCATTAAATTTTGGAAAAGTTACAGTTTATGTTTTTAGAAATAATTAATTAGAAGGTTTCGTATGAATAAAACGGTAAAATTCGGACCATTTTTGTTTTAATAAAAGTTTACTAAAATTAAACAAATTAAATTTACTATAAAATAACTTAAATAAAATAAATTATTAATTTTCAATAATCGAAATAATAATCAAAAAGGAAATTAAAATTATAAATATGTACAAATAATAAATAAACAAACAAACAATAAATAATTAAATAAATAATTACAATAATTAGATAATTATAAAAATAATAAAATCAATACGGGAGTAAAATATAATAAAATATCTGTGCTGTTTGCAATGTCAATTTTAAAACTGAACTCCAAACACTATCGACTCCTTACAATAAATTTGCAAATTCAGCAGAACAAAAACAATTATACGAGAAATAGAGAATAACAAGAATGAGCAAGTTTTTAAATTTCATAAAGTTTTAGATGGAAAATTTTAAAAGTAATTAAATTTTAAACGGTTTTAAATTGTAATTTCTTTGTAATTTTATTTGCTGATTTTTTAAAAATTGTAAACAATTGTCAAATTTCATAAAATTTTTAATTGAAAAATAGTTTAAGATAGTTGAATTTGTAAAGAATTTCATTAAAATAATTTAAAATAATTAATTTAGAGAAGAATTTTAGTTAAAAATTTGTTAAATAATTGAAATAAAGAAGATCTGAAGAAGATCTGTATTGTATACCGAAAAAATAAAGTATTTTTTTTCAAAATGTAAATATAAATAAAGTGGAATCTTATCCAAATATGTAAGTCGAAAAAAGTCGTACAATCCATGGCCTGCAATTCTGTAATCGTGTGCAAAAAAACAAAAAAAAATTAAAAAGATTCGATACTTTAGTTTGTGAAAAAGAACATAAGATGTAAAGAATGAAAAGGATGTAAGATTGGTTATTTGAAACCTATATTCTTGAAAATGTGCGCGAATTATATTGTGACTTATATCGGTCTAGCCTATCAGGGTCAAATGTGGCTTTTTTAAAAAATATTATTAGTATGGAAATTGTTAGTGTGAAAATGCTACTATTCGGACCTGAAGATTTGCATCACTTGAGGATAATTTTATCGAATCCAAAGACGATGGTATTGTTTAATAAACTAGAAGTCCAAAAAAAGGATCAAAAGAAGTTTTCCCTTCTTATTTGGTAAAATTTGTTTTCTTGACTTTGGAAATTTGTAATTTAAATATGACTTAGTTTGAGCACTTTTCTTTGAAAAATCTTAACTCACGCTCAATCCAAAAATAATGTAGTAAGTCAAACATAATTAAATTATATGTCAAGTTGTGATACCTATAAATGTTTTTCTTTCATTTTGTTGAGTTTTTTGAGATTAATATTTTTACACATTATTTTTAGATATATAATTTATTTAAAATATTGAATTACCGTAAATAATTACATAAATTTAAGCTCTTACCGAAGATCGCCTGGAACCATCATCTAAAGGTTTTATTGGAATCCTGTAATAACAGAGAAAAAATATAATTATTCTCTCATTTTTTCATTTGCAATCTATGAAACTGAAGTTACCAACGTTGATTCAACGAAAAAAAATAGTTAAGGATTCTAATTCTGAATTAAAAAAAAGGTAAGAAAACAGTATTTATCATTGTTTTGTCACGAATTTTCAAAATTTCAAGTAAACTGCTATTTTCTCGCCTCGGAAGCAATTTTTCTCGTATGATAATTATTTATTTCAATGCTAGAAGCCTTTTGAAAACAGAAAAATTGCTTGAAATTTCGAAAATCCGTGACAAAACAATAATAAATACTGTTTTCTTAACTTTTTTTTAATTTCAGGTTTTGGAGAGTTGAAAATAAACAAATTTCATTGATGAGAATTGAATCAACATTGGTAGCTACAATTTCATTGCAATCTTCAGTATTAATTTTCAATATTATATTAATAATAGAATATCTGAAATTCTTACAATTTCACTTCGATTTTCTACTGACTAAAAACTGAGTTTTTAACGCCTTATATATTTTAAATTCATAATTTACAATAAATAACAGAAATTTTAATAAACTTCTTGTTTTACTCTTCATGTGATTAAATAAGTTTCTCAAATTATTAGAAAATTTTTTTTTGTAGCTTAAATTAACGATTGAAATTTTCATCAATCTTTATAATAAAAAAATATGTTTTTTAAAAATTTTAATTAATTTAAAATTTGAAAGAAAGAATATTATTTGTCTTGAATACAAAAATAATAGTTTATTTAAAAAACAATTTTATTTCAAATAGTATTTTATATTATTTTCTAACAAAATGTTAATAAAAAACCAGTGTTTTTCATACCTAATGGAAAATTTTTAATAATTCTTTTTTATTGTACCTACTTCTATTTCTAGATATAAAAAGTTTTTTAACAAAATCTATTTTTTACTAGATACTATACAACCCAAAAGAAATAAAACTTTATTTTGTTATTAAATTAGTAAACTTGAACTTAAAAAATTTCTTTTTAACTAAGACTGCTAAAAATTTTGATTGTTAATAACTTAAATAAATTTTTCTTTGTCTAAAAACAATTACAGAAACTTATAAACGTTTTTTTTAACATAAACAACACTTTTTCAATTTAAAATTTTCATAGTATTTACTTACATTGTTTAGCTTCTCAAATAGTTTTTTTTTACTAATAGATTTAAAACAAATATATATTATATTATTACAGAGTTATTCTCTCCATTTCATGTGGATATTAAAACCACAAAATCTGCATTACAATATTGGCGTCAAATTAATTAATATTAACTAAAATTCAAACTTTCATAACAATGCTAACTGAATCCCGACAATTTATGAACTTTTATTATAAGTTTTAATATTATTCTTTTCAAATATTCCTTAGAAAAAAAATTTAGTTTCTCACAATACACATTTTTAAAGATAATTAATTATTTTGTTGTAAATAATATAGAAAAGTTGTGTCAACTGTCAGAAATTCAAATTTAACAACTCTCACAACTGACAACAAACAAAGAGGTTAAAAAATCAGCAACTAAAGGTGCCTCTCCAATGAAACATTAAATTAAAGGTGATCCTACAATCACTGGACTATTAGTAGTTCAAGTTGGGTGGGGGAAAATTCAAGATGGACGTAAGCGAAATGTATGGGACGAAATTGAATTTTTTTAATATGTATCTCGCTTAAATGAAATTTTGAAACTCAAAGGGCCCGTCCTATGTAGGCGTAAAAGCGTCGGCGAAAAGCGTAAACTATGTGAGTAAAAGAGATAAACAGATATCATTCTCTCTTTCACTCACATGGTTTACGCTTTTCGCCTTCCTAAAGTGTGTAAGCACCTTTACCATATGTTTTCGGTGAATAGACCTTTTCATGCTGATCGTTCTGTCTTTATCTAGCGCATACAATGACACATGAGTTGGAAGAGGACAGAATGATCAGCATGAAAAGGTCTATGGAGGGAGGACAAAATGAGAGAATGTTTTACTTAACACTTAACAGATCTTCTATATTACTAAAATGACCTAACTGAAAAGTTTTATATTTCGGATATTCTACTTTAGTTCATTGAACACCTGCCTTTTTCTTTGTAAATATGGCGTCATTTTTCGTATCCTAACAATAGAGGTAGATAGATTAGTAAGTTTAAAGGAAAAACGTTTAGAAGCAGGTATTTTTAAACGTTTCTAATATAGTTGTTGTTGAATAAAAATTTCCAATAATGGCTGATTTTATTCACTCAGAAGCAGAAGAAAGTGAGGTAAGAAAACAATTTTAAATCATAAATACCGTTAAATTTTTAGAAGCCGGTGAAAAAAGAAAAATTGTTTCCTTAGTTGGCAATTTATTTACCATACTTTATTTTAAGATAATATTTTTGTTATAAATCGCTTTTGAATTTCTATAATTTTTCTGTTATAATAACCTTTAATTTGCTTTTGATAGCTTTTCTTTTTTACTCTATAAGGCATGGAAAGTTTTAGAAATGAATTTTTCGTTAATTATAATCTTAAGTTAATACCAATTCTATTAAAAATCTTCCTTATAAGTTTTCATATTTTTAATTTTTTATTTCATAAATTGATCAAATTAATTCTTTTCTGAGTAATACCTTTTTTTAACTCATTTTTCTTCTTTTTTATTATGAAATTCCAAGCCATTTCTTTCTGAAATCACATTCCTTCATTATGACAAACTAGTGCGAGTTGAAAGTATCATTTTACACATATGTAATGCACGATATTATTTCGATAACCAACTGTTGATTCCACGATGAAGTTTACATGAGATATAAACTGCATATTTTTTTTTTATAAGTATAATTTTGTAATAAAAATTAAACCGTAATATTTTTTAAAAAATTAGATTTCTTTTATTAAATTTTCAAACAAATCTTATTATAAAATTATAACAATTTTAATTTTTTTAAATTTGAAAGTAGTTAAGTAAAATTTTTCAAAAAATTGTGCGAAAATTTTGAAAAATTTTTTATCTTCTAAACAAACTTGTATTTAACTTAAGAAATTTATTAGTTCTTGTAAATTAACTTAAATTTCATTGCTATTTTTATTTGTTTACCTTCTCATATCTATCAAAACATTTTTGGAACTTTTAACATTTCAAGTCCCTTTTATTTTTCTCTTAAAGAAAGAAATAATTAAATACAAATAAAAGCAATCAATCATCAAATATTGATTAATCATAAATAAAAGATGTTTAACATGCGTTTTTAATTATGTAATTTGTTTTCACAAGTTCTACTACATCAAGGTTTAGAATAAATTGCTTCATCTGTTAATTTTTAAATAATTTTTTTACAAAATTAATACGTTACATGTTTTTTTAAATGATTTTGTTTAATTTTGACAATCTTAATAAAGACAGATACGAAGTACTACTTTTAAAGATAATGAAATTATGGTGAACTAATCTATGAATTTGAATTTTCTAAAGAAATTTTTTTATTTTAATTAAGTCATTGGATACCTAAACAAATTTCACGCTAACTAATCCAAAGAATTTTGAAATATCTAATCAATTTTATTAACAATCCCTAAATACGTTCTTTAAAATATCTCCACAATTGTTCGAGTAATAAATATAAGTTAACAGAAGTTAAATTTAATGGTAATTAACAAATCAAGTGCAATAATAGTAAAATTGTTTTATTTTGATAGTATTTAAGAAAACAGAAATTAAATTCAACATTATTCACTAATTTTACCTCATTGGTCAAAAAAGCGCACGCTTATTTGAAATCTTAATGTAATTTATTTTTAAAAATAGTTGATTCAAAATATTAATTAAATTCATCATTTAATTTTATTAGAATAAATAAATTTTATAAATATTTTTAATGCAAATTAAAAATGCCTTTTGTATGTATATATTTTATTAAATATTCAATTAATCAATTTCTATTAGGACGAAGAAGAATTAGACTACCATGACAAGAAGAAACTTAAAAGACTTAAGGCAATGGAAGAAAGTGAAGAAGAAGAGGAAGGTAATTTCTATTAAATTTTTAATTAAAAGTCCTTCGAATTAAAAGAAGTCTTAAAAATTAATGTAAAAATGGTTCGTAGTTCATAAATTTTTTTTTAAATTAATTTTTCTTTTTATTCAATCAGTAATTTCAAAATGATATAAAATTCTAAATATCTTTAATTTTTATATTTTTATTTGTGCTTTTTACTCCTTGACTATATTTTATTTATAAATAATATAAAATTTTGAAGTTTTTAAAAAAAATTTCGTTATTAATATTGATTATGATAAATAATAATATTTAGATTAAATAATAATTATAAAAAATAAAATCATTATAAATATTAATTGAATTTCTTTTTTCTCTACGTGGTGTATATAATCAAATTTGAAACCGAATTCCAAAATACCCTCAAAAATTTAATATTTCTAAAAAAAATTGTTAATTTACTTAATCTAGAAGACGAAGAACGGATGCGTGAAGAGTTAAAAGATTTAATCGACGATGGTCCAATTGAAGAAGATGGAGATGATAGCGATAATTCTGAAAGATCTAAAAAACGCAAAAGAAGTGATGATGATTTTGATGATCGACTAGAAGACGATGATTATGATTTAATTGAGGAAAATTTAGGTGTAAAAGTGGAAAGAGTAAGTTTGTTATTAATCTTTTTTATATTAAGCAAGTATTTACTTTGTAAAGTATATTAAATAATTTGTTAATATTTTTAGAAACGTTTTAAACGTGTACAAAAAATAGTAGATGAAGAATCGGAAGAAGAAGCAGAGCAGGAAGAAGAGAGAGATGCAATTGCCAATGAACTTTTCGAAGGTTCTGGTGATGTTAGTATTTTTTATGCACATTTTTTATTTATTAATAAATTGTAAAATTATTTTATTAATAATAATATTTATTATTAAAAAACAAATTTTAAAAAATTTTAACGTAGGAGGATGATGGAAGATCTGAAAGAAGTCACCGCGTCGCAGAATCGAGAATCGATGAGGTTAGTGAAGGAGATTCTTCTGATGCTGATGATTTTATTGTTGATGATGAGGGTCGACCAATTAGAGAAAAACGAAAGAAGAAACATATTTTCGCTGACTCGTAAGTAAACTTTTTTTATAATGTTTTTCCATATTTCAAAATTCACAAATTTGAATTTCTATTTATACATATTTTATAAAGTCGAGTTTACATTAAATACACGTGCCTAAAGTTCTGAAAAATTTGTTTTCTGCTTTTTTAACTTTAAAATTTATTATAAAATATTACTTTCTGTTTCTAAAAATACATTACTAATTTATTAAATTTTTAATGTACTTTAATGCTGTAGTAATTAAAAAAAATTAATTTTATTATTTAAACGTTCAAAACTTTCTGAAATTTAATAATTTTAATTATAACTCTTCCGAAACTCTTCGATTTTTGTCTTAAATTTTTTAATAAATTCTTCAGCATCAGAAATCACCAAAAAATTCCAATTCATAATCACTTAAATTCAATTATTTTGAAAAATTTTAATTAAAAACCTTCTAAAATTTAATTATTTTTAAAATTTTCCATCTAAAACTTTATGAAATTTATTAATTTCAACTATAACTCTATCGAAAAATAAGTATTTATAATGATTTTTATAACTTAATTTTTATCCGAAATTTGTTTGACCATTAAAAATAAAAACTGCCAAAGTTTTTAATTCGAATAAATTGTTTAAATCGAGCTTCAAAATATTTTAAAAATGAAATTTGAATTTTTTTAGAAATTTATTCTATTTAATAAAAATTTTAAAAATTTGTCTTGGTTCGATTCTGAAATATTCAAAATAAATTTTATTGATAATAATCTTTCATATTAAGGATTTAATATAATGAATTTAATATCTAGTAACATTAGTTATTTAAAGTAAAATATTTATTAACTAATTAAATTTAATTAAAGTATAAAAATCGACTAAAACGACTTTTGTTGCGCTTTAAAGTCGATGCTAATTTGAAAGGGAATGTAATTATACAATGATAATAAATTAATCCTTATTGTAGGGCTCTTCAAGAAGCTCAAGATATTTTTGGCGTGGACTTTGATTATGAAGAATTTGAAAAGTACGGCGACGAAGATGAAGAGGAAGAAGAGGAAGATGAATATGAAGAAGAAGGAGATATTGATAGACAAAGAAGATCAAAGAAACAACCAAAGAAGAAAACAACAAGAAAAAGCATTTTTGAAATTTACGAGCCTAGTGAACTTCGACGTGGACACTTTACTGATCAAGATAATGAGGTATTTTAAAAATTATGGAATTACTCAATAAATCTATAATTTTATCCATTTTCATTATTTCTTAATATTCACTTGTTTATTTTTTTTTAGGTTCGAATGAATGATATACCAGAACGAATGCAAATTCGTTCAGTGCCAGTAGTTCCAGTGCCAGAAGGTTCAGATGAATTAGATCATGAGGCTAAATGGATTTATGAGCAAGCTTTCTGTAAACCCACATTCTCCGTTCAAGATTCACATCTAAATGATGAAGCTAAGGAGCGTGCAAGAGAACGTGCAAATAATGGTCCGCAGACAATTGGAAAAATTAAAAAAGCTCTTGATTTCATGAGAAATCAACATTTCGAAGTGCCTTTTATTTCATTTTATAGAAAAGAATATGTATTACCTGAATTGAATATCAACGACTTGTGGAAAGTTTATAAATTTGATGCAAAATGGTGTCAGTTAAGACAGCGTAAAGAAGATCTATTGAAACTCTTTGAGAATATGAAAAATTTTCAACTTGAAGAAATTATGAAGAACCCTGATGCTCCATTGTCTGATGGAATAAGAATTATTAAAGATGATGACGTTGAACGTCTTAAAAATGCTCAAACTCCCGAAGAAATTAATGATATTTATCGTCATTTTAAATTGTATTACAGTGAAGATATTCAATTGATGCAAGAATCAGTGAGACTAAAGGAGCGTGAAACACGAAAGCAAGAAAAGCTTGAAAGAAGAAAACAATTGATTGCTGAAGCTGAAGAAAATGGTGAAGATCCACCGCCTGAAGAAGATTTAGATGAAGATGAAAATGAAGTTGATGATGTAATAAAGAAACCAGTGAGAAATGATCCTTATTCTATTTGTAAAAAAGCTGGTCTACATTCTCTTTCAAAAAGATTTGGTCTCACTCCTGAACATTTTGCTGAAAATTTACGTGATAATTATCAACGTCATGAAGTCGATCAAGAAGATGCAGATCCATTAACAGTTGCAATTGAATATTGTGGACAAAAATTTTCAACACCAGAAGAGACAATAAAAGCAGCTCAACTAATGGTTGCAATTCAATTGGCGCGTGAGCCTTTAGTTCGAAAAACAATAAGAGATATGTACATGGAAAGGGCTAAATTGTCCGTTCGTCCGACAAAAAAAGGAATAAAAGAAATTGACGAGAATCATCCAGTTTACAGTATGAAATATTTAAAAGACAAACCAATCCGCGATTTTGTTGGCGATCAATTTCTTAAACTTGTCATTGCTGAGCAAGATAAGTTGATAACTATGTCATTTAGCGATTCTTTTGAAGGTAATACGAGTAATAATTACATTGATGAAGTAAAACAACTTTACTATCGAGACGAATTCAGTAAAACTGTCCAAGAATGGAATGCGCTTAGAGTCGCTAGTGTGGAAATGGCTTTAACAAAAATGGTAAGTTTCATTTATTTTACAAACATTTTTTTGTTAATTATTAATATTTCTAAAATTTTTTAAAACAACTTCTAAAAATTGTCAAGCTATTTATTATTATTGTTATTATTATTCTAGAAATAGTCTAGAAATAATTCACATTTTTAAGACGAAGCTGAAGTACGCAACGTTTATGATAAACGATTTTTAAAGAAAAAATTTTTTTAAATGAAAAATTCTATAATTTTTTGCCTAAAAAAATAGTTTTTGTAGTTATCATTAATCAACAAATTATAAAAAAATATTTTTTAGGCAAAAAATTATATAATTTTTCATTTTAAAAAATTATTTCTTTAAAAATAGTTTATCATAAACGTTGCGTACTTCAGCTTCGTTTTTTAAGAGGAAAACTTAATTTTTTCTTTTACATTATCAGAGTTGCCACGGGTCAGGGAAAAGTAAGGGAATTTCATGAAAAGTACTGTGAAAATTTCAAATTACTAAAAATGCTACTAAAATCATAATTCTTGAAATTTCCGATTCTAATTTTTTATAATTGAACATCTCTTGAAATAAATTTCATTGGGGTCAAGAAAAAAATTTGTATTCTAACCGGAAATCAGGGAAAAACAAAATAAAATTTTTGTGTCAACCCTGATTATAAAAGTAAAAAATTATTTTTAACACAATATTTTCCAACAAATATGATTTTTTAAGTAGTTTGTTGATCAAATTTGCTTGAAATTCGTTAAATTTTTTAGGAAACTAATACGAATTTAATGTCAGATTCAGGCCTTTCACTACCGTTACGCGAAAATGACACTAACGCTTTTTCAAGTTGATCACTTTTCGAAATTTACGATTCAATTATTTTCAATAATTTTAATTAAATTTTTCACAAATTCAATTATCTTAAACTATTTTTCAAACAAAAATTTTATGAAATTCGATAATTGTTTAAAATCAAAAAAAAATCAGCAAATCCAAAATTCAATTATCTGAAAGCATTTTTAAATTAAAATATTCTAAAGTTGAATTTTTGTCTTTAATTTTTAATAAATTCTTCAGCTACAGAAATCATCAAAACATTTCAATTCAAAATCACTTGAATTCAATTATTTTCAAAAATTTCAATTTAAAACTTAAAATTTAATTATTTTTGAAAATGTCAACTGCAATTCTTCCAAGATTTAATGATTTTCAATGATTTTTAAAATATTCTACAAAAATTCAATTATTTGACAGCATTTTTCACTTAAAAACTTTTGAAATTCAATTTTTGTCTGTAATTTTTAATAAATTCTTCACCAACAAAAATCACCAAAAATTTAAATTAAATATCAGTTGAAGTTCAATTAATTTCAAAAATCTGAATTGTAAATCTTTGAAAATTTAATTACTTTTAAAAAACATTATTTAAAATTATTTGATAAATTATTTTTAATTCTATATAAAATTTAATAATTAAATTTTATTATTTTTTTAAATAACAATAATTATTATTATTGTTTGAAATTTGAAAGAATCTTTTGAAATTTAATTATTTCTAAAAATTTCAACTATAACTCTTCCAAAGTTCAATTAGTTTTAATAATTTTAATATTTTTTAAAAAATTCAGTTATTTAAAAAGTTATAAATAAAAATTCTAAAATTGAATTTTTGCAAGAATTTTTTTTTCTTTATTAGAAATTTGTCTAATTTAATTAAAATTTAAAAAATTTACATCTTCGATTTTGAAATATTCGAAATAAATTTTCTTGTTAATATTCTTATAGAATTATTCTTATTAAGGAATTAATAAAATGGATTTAATATCTAATGAACGATACTTTATTTATTTAATTTCATTTAATTTTTATCTTTACAGGTTGTACCTGATTTAAAGAAAGAACTGAAGGCAACGCTTCTTGCTGAAGCAAAAGAATGCGTTATGCGTTCATGTTGTCGTAAAATGTATAATTGGTTAAAAATTGCTCCTTACACTTGCGAGTTTCCTGAAGAAGAGGATGAAGAATGGGATACAAGTAAAGGTTTGCGAGTAATGGGTATAGCTTATGTACCTGATGAATCTGAAGCTCCATTTGCATGTATAGTTGCACCCGATGGAGAATGTACAGATTTTTTGAAAATACCTCATATACTTAAACGAAAAAATAGTCCAAGAGAAAGTGAAAAAATAATGAAGGAGGCAGATCTTTTAGCGATTAGAAATTTTATAGCAACAAAAAAACCTCATCTCATTGTAATTGGTGGCGAAACAAGAGACTCTCAAATGATACAAGCTGACATTCGAGATACAGTTTTAACACTCGTTGATGAAGAACAATTCCCAAATGTTCAGGTAGAAATATGTGATAATGAATTTTCAAAAGTTTATGCAAATAGTAATAAGGGCATTACAGATTTTCGCGATTATTCACTACAATTGCGACAGGCCATATCACTTGCGCGTAGAATGCAGGATCCACTATTAGAATTTTCTCAATTATGCACATCGGACAATGAAATACTTTGTTTGAAATATCATCAATTGCAAGATCAATTTGCCCCTGAAGATTTATTGGAGAATATTTATTTGGAATTTGTAAATCGCGTTAATGAGGTTGGTGTTGATATAAATAAGGCAGTTCAGCAGGCGTATTTCAGTAATATTGTACAATTTGTTTGTGGTTTGGGTTCGAGGAAAGGTCAAGCTCTGCTTAAAATATTGAAACAAACTAATCAGAGGCTGGAAAATAGAACTCAACTTGTTACTGTTTGTCATATGGGACCTAAAGTTTTTATTAATTGTGCAGGATTTATAAAAATCGATACCAACAGTCTTGGTGACAGTACGGAAGCTTATGTTGAGGTTTTAGATGGTTCTCGAGTACATCCCGAAACTTATGAATGGGCAAGAAAAATGGCAGTTGACGCTCTTGAGTACGATGATGAAGATGCAAATCCAGCAGGTGCATTGGAAGAAATTTTAGAAGCTCCCGAGAGGTTAAAAGACCTTGATTTAGATGCTTTTGCTGAAGAACTTGATAGGCAAGGTTTTGGAAATAAAAGTATCACTCTCTATGATATCAGAGCGGAATTGAATTCTCGTTATAAAGATTTAAGAGCAACTTATCAATCTCCCAATCCTGAGACACTTTTTGATATGTTGACTAAGGAAACAATGGAGACTTTCCATACGGGAAAATTGGTTTTAGCCAAAGTTGTTGGCATTACACACAAGAAACCACAGGGTGAACAACTTGATCAAGCAAATCCAGTTCGAAACGATGAAACTGGACTCTGGCAATGTCCTTTCTGTCTTAAGAATGATTTCCCTGAATTATCGGAAGTATGGAATCATTTTGACGCTGGTTCCTGTCCTGGAAAGGCAACTGGTATAAGACTACGTTTAGATAATGGTGTTTCTGGTTATATACACATAAAGAATTTATCCGATAAACATGTGGCGAATCCTAAAGAGAGAGTTGCCATAAATCAACCAATTCATTGTCGTATTACAAAAATAGAAGTTGAAAAATTCTCCGTTGAATGCACAAGTAAAAGTAGCGATCTTGCTGATAGAAATCATGAATTTAAACCACAGAAAGATCCTTTTTATGATAACGATGCAGAAGAGAAGGACATTCAAGATGAGATCGATTCTAAAAAAGCGAAACAAAAACAAATTTACATTAAACGAGTTATTGTTCATCCGTCATTTCATAATGTCAATTTTATGGAGGCTGAAAAATTAATGAAAGACATGAAACAAGGTGACGCAATGATACGTCCAAGTAGTAAAGGCGCTGATCATCTGACTATTACTTGGAAAGTTATAGACAATGTACATCAACATATTGACGTTAAAGAAGAAGGAAAAGCAAATGATTTTTCACTGGGTTCACGCTTATGGATTGGCAGTGAAGAATTTGAAGATTTAGACGAAATTATAGCTAGGCATGTTAATCCCATGGCATCATATGTATCTGAAGTATTGGATTTTAAATATTATAAATCTGGAATTGATGGTATGAAAGATAAAGCTGAGGAAATAATTAAAGCACAAAAAAAAGCAAATCCTTCTGGAATTCCCTATATTTTGTCAGCAGCTAAAAATTATCCAGGCAAATTTCTATTGTCATATTTACCGAGAGCACAATGTAGACATGAATATGTTTCAATTACACCAGAGGGTTTTAAATTTAGAGGACAAATGTTTGGTAAATTGTGCGACACTCTCAAGTGGTTTAAAGAACATTTCCGTGATCCAATTCCTGGTCAGGCAACGCCTAGCACTCCTCGTGGAATGATGTCTTCAAGAACACCCTACATTACAACACCTGCACCAATGAATGGTTATACTCATCCAATGTTAAATTCAGTACCAAGTCCAATGACTGGTCAAAACACTCCCATGCTGATGCCTTTTAGAACTCCTTATTTACCTACAACTCCTGGACCTATGAATACCATGACTCAAGAAGTGATACAAAGAGTTGCTCAAAATATGCCACATCATATGTTGAATTCCTTATCACAAGTGGCGAGTCAAACTTATCAGCCTCACACTCCGGCGACTACTTTTGATGGAATGCAACCAATGACACCATATACTCCATCTGATCAAACACAATTTAATGGAATGGCAAATAGAAATCATAAATTTGCCACACCTCAAGATAGAAATCAAAGATTTAATAATCGTACACCACAAAATGATCCACCGGAAGTTGATGATAATCCATTTAGCGTTGGTTCATCAAGAGAATCATCTAGAGAAAGAGACAGTACAAATAGATCCTTCAATAAAGGTGGTCGAAATAATAGATCTAATTTCCATTCTAATACAAATGATTTCTCCAGTCCATCAGCGGATGATAACCCCTTTTCAGTTGGAACAACTGGCGGTAATAACAATTCCTTCAATAATAGAGGTGGAAGAGGCAGAAATCAAGGATCTTACAATTCGAAAAGGGATAATTATAATTCTAATTCACGGCAGGATGGACCAGCCGATGATGATAATCCATTTTCAACCGGATCATCCAATAATCGTAGTAGAAAAAATGATTCAATGGACAGAGACAATGATAATCGATCATTCAATAGAGGTAGAGGACGAAATCGAGGATCTAATTTTCATTCCAATTTTGATTCACGTTCACGTCGTGATTCATCGGCAACGCCAGATAATGACAATCCGTTCTCAGTTGGATCGTCGAATGATCGTGGTAAAAATGATAATGAATCAGGTGATAGTGAAAATAATCCCTTCTCGTCTGACAAGAGATCGTTTAATAGAGATGGTGGAAGAGGTGGAAGAGGAAGAGGAGGTAGAGGAGGAAATCGTGGTTCCAATTTCCATTCAAACTTTGATTCACGTTCACGTCGCGATAGTGCACCACCTGCAGACGATGATAATCCGTTTTCAGTTGGATCCTCGAACGATCGTAGTCGAAATGATGATTCAATGGACACAGAAAGCAATTCATTTTCATCAGACAACAGATCGTTTAATAGAGATGGTGGAAGAGGTGGTAGAGGAAGAGGAAATCGTGGTTCTAGTTTTCATTCAAACTTTGATTCTCGTTCAAGACGCGATAGTGCACCTCCTGCAGACGATGATAATCCATTTTCAGTTGGATCCTCGAACGATCGTAGTAGAAATGATGATTCAATGGACACGGAAAATAGTTCCTTTTCATCAGAAAAGAGATCATTTAACAGAGGTGGCGGAAGAGGTGGAAGAGGAGGAAATCGTGGTTCTAATTTCCATTCAAACTTTGATTCTCGTTCACGACGCGATAGTGCACCACCTCCAGATGATGATAATCCATTTTCAGTTGGATCCTCAAATGATCGTAGTAGAAATGATGAGTCAATGGACACGGAAAACAGTTCATTTTCATCAGAAAAGAGATCGTTTAATAGAGATGGTGGAAGAGGTGGAAGAGGAAGAGGAAATCGTGGTTCCAATTTTCATTCAAACTTTGATTCACGTTCACGTCGCGATAGTGCACCACCACCAGACGATGATAATCCATTTTCAGTTGGATCCTCAAACGATCGTAGTAGAAATGATGATTCAATGGACACGGGAAATAGTTCCTTTTCATCAGAAAAGAGATCATTTAACAGAGGTGGTGGAAGAGGAGGAAATCGTGGCTCTAAATTTCATTCAAACTTTGATTCTCGTTCACGTAATGCACCTCCTCCAAATGATGATAATCCATTTTCAGTTGGATCCTCAAATGATCGTAGTAGAAATGATGATTCAATGGACACGGGAAATAGTTCCTTTTCATCAGAAAAGAGATCATTTAACAGAGGTGGCGGAAGAGGTGGAAATCGTGGATCGGGCTTCCATTCTAATAAAGGACAATTTAATTCAAATTCTCGTTTTGGTAATTCTTCCTCTCAAGTTGATGACAATCCATTCTCAATAGGATCTACAAATGATACTACGAGATATGATGATAATCCAACCGCTGATAGTAATAATCCATTTTCTTCAAATTCCGCAACTAAATCACCTCGTGATATGGAAATAAGTGGGGACCAAACACCTCTTTATGATGAAAGTTAGACATTATTTTTATTCGTATTATTATTTAAAACTTAATTTAAAATAGGCGATATACTTTTCTAATGTAATTAACAGTAGATTCGATTAATAATTTTGAAAGAATTTCTTCATTTTTTTGGTAAAAAAAATATATATAAACTATTTTTTGAAAGTAATTAAAAGTTAATGAAATTTAATCATTGCTTTTAGGAATTAAAAAATTTATGTCAATATAGATTTGTAAGAGAAAGCAATTGAATTTGGTGAGAATATGATAGTATAATATTGATAAAATATAGTTTTGGAGAAATTTAAATAGAAATTATATTTTTCTGTCAAATAGGTACTTATTGTTAATTAAATCATTCCGCCGTACAACAGAAAATCTATACTGTAAATAAATTCAACACTCAGGTTCATTTCTCTGTAGCAGGCTATGTGGGAAAAAATCGACCAAAATACCAATGTCATTCGCCGCATTTTTCCCATAATTACGTATATAATAACCTAGTTATTCAATATAGGGAAGTTTTGTTTTCTTTTTTTTTTTTTTTTTTTGATATTCTAACTATAATAGAAAAAGAACAATTTTTTTATGTGTTTGTTACTTTGAGAATTACGTATAATTTAAAAAATAATTACTGCCAGAATGCAATCTTTATATACAATATTATTTTAATAAAATTTCTTCATTTAAATATAGTTAGATATCAATAACTTTATTTTTCAACTAGACAAAATTAAAATCGCCATATAATTTAAAGTTCATTTGACATGATAAACAGTTGTAAATATCTATAGTTTTTTTTTTGTACATAATGACCATTATAAAGAAAGAAGAAAGATATATATATAAGTTTTCAACTATTTTTCCTATTCTGATCATTTATTTGAAGGCAAATACATATGCATGTAAATTGTAATATTGTTCTGTATTCCATAAACACAAGATTTGAAAAACAAATCAACAAAAGACTCAAAATTAATCAATTTTAACTATCTCTTTTTTATAAACGACTGCTTTTGTTTTTTTACTATTGTACCTCTAATAAATAGAGTTGATTTCAATAAATTTTCTAATGAAGTTAAGTGTTGTCGATTAATTACCCTTTATTATGAAAAACTAATTAAGAAAATTGGATTTTATAAATCATCTGTTATTTTTTATTTATTATTATTGAATTTAGTTTTTAAATTAAAAAAAAATTTGAAGAATCGAAACAAAAAAAAAATAATATTAATTTTAAAAAAAGTGTACATATTTTTGAATATCGAAATCAAATTTTTATTTTACAAAATATATTTTTTCTTCTAATTAAACAAAACCAAAAAAAAAGTATTAAAAATCTTACAAGAATAATAATTAGTAACTATGTTCATTAAACTAAGAAAAAGAATTGTAATACATTAATTTTAGAATTATTATTAATTTTATAGAAAAATAACTTTTATTATAATAAAATAATGTTTACTTCCTCCAATGTCGGAAGCAATTTTTTGACTTTTCAATTTATTCATTAATATTCTTCATCCTTTATCTTAGAATTAAAATTAAAAACACGAATATCATTCGAATCTCTGTGACATACTACACCTGCAAATACAGTTAAAAGGAAACTCGACATTTTTAATAATTTGTTGACGCTTAGCAAAAAATTTCTACAAATTTTGTTGTATTAACTATTTTTCTTAGCATTCGTAAAGAAATATTTGTATTCAATAAACAAATTTAATTTTAATTAAATTTAAATTATAAAATACATTTATATTAAAAAAACAAAATCATTTATTAAAAATAATTAGTTTTGAAAAAGGACGAATGGGTACTTAAAAGAATTAGATAAATATATTATTAAATATTTATTATTAACTGTTAATATTAAATTTTTAATCAAGAAATATTAATTTCATAAATTCTTTTATTAAAAAAAAAAATCTTAGATTTTCGGTAAAAACTTTTAAAAAAGAATTAAAAAATTTTCCATTTTTAAACAGATTTACAAAAAGAAAAAGTTTTTTAAGGTCAATTCATAAAATATTGTTTGATCAAGGTACCTATATTTAAAATAATTTTGAAAATATGAAATAAACATTATTTTTAAAGTCTAACTCAAAAATAAATTTTTTAATTATTTCTTATTACAAATATCAAATTTTTCTTTAAAATATTATTCCATCAAATAATTTCTATTATTTTCTATCAAATTAATTTCAATTATATTTAATCACATAATTAAAATTTTTTTTTTAAATATTTAATCTAATAAATTAAATGTATATCGTAATAAAACAGCTATAAGTGTGATATGTTTATTAATTATAATTAATTCCTTACAGGTCTCTTATGTAGGATTCTTTGTAGGATCCCAAATAAAATCCTATTATAAATTATTTATTGTTAAAATTTATTTTAATCAATAATATTAATTAATTAATGTATAATAACAAATAATCTATAATTGAATATTGTAGGTATGGAATCCTACACGAAGGTTCATACGAATCCTATAAATGTAACCTATAAGGGCGCCTGTCATTTTTCTTAAGACATGTGTATTATATGATAATTTTTTTTAAAATAAGCATTTGTTAACAAAGTATTAACGTAAATTTTATTTTACAATAACTGTAGTATTTTTTTTTACAAATTCTTGCTCTTGAGCATTTTTTGCTGACATGGGACTATACTCTTTGGTTTACGCTCCTGAACTATACTGGAACAGAATCATGATCATGATGGAACAGAATTCCATTCACAGAATGAAAGAACGGGCCTGCGTTTCATCCTTTCATTGTGTGTGCGGTGTGTCGCGTGTAGTCAGATTCGTCAGTTTTGAGTCAGAGTCAGATCATGGTGGTTTAAGTTTCTAGTGGCAGTATGTAGTGTAGTGTCATGGAGGTAACATGGCTGAGGAGACGCGCCTAGTTCGCGTAGAAGAGAGATTAAAGATTAAAATTGGTATGAAAATACTTTATAATAATATAGTTGTTATCAAATGTGATTGTTAATGAGTGTTGTTTTTTAAATTAGTGATAATTTTGAATTACGAGAGTTTAATAAATTATATATTCTTAAATGTGTGTTCATTTCGCATCTATTTTCAAATATATAAGTGTCGCCTATTTCAATACTCCTACGGATATTCTCTCGAAGGAGAAATAAGTCTACAGTTTTTATTCTAAGTGAAGTTATCTCATGTAGAAATCTTTAAAAGGAGGTTGCTATTGTTTATTTTATTTCATAGAGTGTGATTTTTTTTTTAAAAGGAATATACGCAAGTTACACCGGATTTCCTACCCTATAATCCATATACAAATCAACGCGACTCCAATATGTGGGGCATTTCATATGAAGAAGATCATTCATATTTCTCAATTTTTTTTTCCATCTTTCGTTTTACTTTTCTTTTGTAGTGCTCGATGAGCTAAGTAATACTAAATATTTAAATTAAAAATATTAAATATATTTCATGTTATTTACAGTAACAAATTTAATTTTTTTATATTTCATTTACAGAGAAACAATTTTTTATTTTTACACAAAAAAACATTTAATTTTTGAGAAAATAATGTTTAATTTATAATATTCATGATTTTTAAATTACTGTTTATTTAAAAAATGAAAATTGTATGTAATTTTTAAATCTCTTATTGGATTAATTTCAACTTGGAAAAAAATCATGATTATCGTTTAATATTAAGCAAAATTATTTATGAAAAAAAAATAGTTTGCGGAAACGTTATTTTGAATTTTAGAGAAAAAATTTTTTTTACCTTGACAGTGTACAACAGCATTGTGTAATGTTATCCATGTTTTGACTGTCAAACTTCACAACATGTGTTACTCCTAAACGCATGGCGCACTGTTTTGATTAGTAAAATCGTGCCCCGTTAAGTTAAAAATTTTTTTTTCACAAAAATTAAAAATAATGCATTTACAAAACATTTTAAATAAATTTGTTTATTATTAAACAATAACTATGGTTTTTTTTGAGATTTATATTAGTTCGATAGCAAATTTAAAATTTAAAGCAATGAGTTTTGAAGCAATTTATGAATTTTTTAAATTAAAAATAAATCTCTTAAAGTTCAATATTTTTTGACTTAAGTAGTAAAAGAAATTTTTTAAATATTTCCTAAATGTTGATCTTTAATTTTTGAAATATTCACCCACGAAGCTTACGAAATATTATTGTTTATATTTTTTTAAAAAATTTGTATAAGAAAATATTGAACACAAAGTTGAAGTAAATATTGTACGGCAATATTGCGCTACAATATTAAAGTAAGGTAAAATAAGGAATAATTTTATACTAAAACGACTTTCGTTTACTGAATCGCATTTTACTTTAAAATTATGTATTTTATTCTAAATTGAGCTATATATATTTATTAAAAAGTAATGAATTTTGAACAGGGGAGGCAAAGAATCTACAAAGCAGAAGTCATGGATCTCCAGGTACAAGAGATGTGTACTGTGCATTGTCATTGGACCAAGAAGAAATATTTCGTACCACAACAATGGCAAGAACACTTAAGTAAGAATAAATATATTTCTATTTAATTTTTATTTTTTTTTCTTTGAATAGTAATAAAAATGATTAAATAATTTAATTTTATTTCCAGTCCGTTCTTTGGGGAGGAATTTCAATTCGAAGTGCCTAGAAAATTTCGCTACCTTAGCATTTATGTGTTTGATACAGATCGGCATTTAAAACAAGATAAAATACTAGGGAAAGTAGCGATTAAGAGAGAGGATTTAGCGACTTATCATAATAAAGAGCATTGGTTCCCTTTGAGGCCGGTTGACGCTGATTCTGAGGTGCAGGGAAAAGCGCATATTGAATTCGCTTTGCTACCACAAGTTGGATGCGATCAACCTAAACTATCAGTCAGGTGAATATCGTCTGTATTTGGATTTGATATTTTTTTTTACTCAGATACAGAAATTTCAATTTTATGATACACAGCCTAAAAACCCAGAGCAAGGAAAAATAAATTTGTAAACTAATTCGATTAAAACGAAAAACATTTTAAAATGTGAATGAAATATCACTTTCTTGTGAAATTTGGAGTAATGATTGAAAAATCCTGAAGTGACGGAGTCAAAAGTTAAGGAAATTCTAGAAATTTGAGAAATTTACAGAAATTGTCAATTTTATACTTCCGTTTTGTGATCCGTGATGCTTTTAACATAATGATGTCATATTAAAAAAAATAATTATATTTACAATGTAAAAACATTGATTTGAGTTCAGTTGGAAAATTATTTGATTAGTTTAAAAAGAATTTTTTTTAACATTCCTGAATTTATATTAATTTAGAGAACACAATAATGCAGATTTTCATCATTTCTAAATAAATTATTCAATTGACCCAAGCTTCAATTTAGTAAAATTTTCTATCGATTTAAAAAATATCAAGATCAAATTTAAATAAATCTAAATTTAAATTAGTTGCAAACATTTATTGATTAAAATTATTGTCAACGATCTAAATTTAAATTCATTCTAACTCTAATCAACCATCAATTCTATCAATCTAAAATTCAATTTATCCAAATTGAAATCAGTTCAAATTTTAATTGATCCAAATTTCAATTAAATTAAATTTTTTTCGAAATCAATTTAAATTTCAAGTCATCCAACTTTCAATCAATTCTAGTTGTTTTTTTTTATCAAAACAAATCAGGGTGTCCTGCGGTCAAGGAATGTCAGGGAACTTTTTAAAAATTTTCCAAAACTGAACATGTTTATGAATTTTTTAAATTTTTCGGTACAAGACAAAGTTTATAATGCTAATAAATAAAATGTTTTTTATTATCTTAGAAATACTTTAATATTCGATACTTTCCATTCTTTTAATATTAAATATTTCTTACAGAAAAGTGGAAAGAAGGTTTGGGAAAAGTCAGGGAATTTTTTTTTTTTGTACTTTTTGCTGGACACCCTGCAGATTTATTAATTTAAAATTTTAATCAAATGCAAATAATAATAGATCGAAACTTAAAATTAATGAAATTTCAATCTAACTTAATATTAATCGATTGAAGTTATAAATTAAGCGAATTTTAAATTACTTAATTTTTAATTGATTTTCGGTATCAAATTATCTAAATTTTTATTAATTTAAGCTTAAAATTGTCAGAATTTTATTTTATCCAAAGAATAATTTGTTTTAACTATTATTTTATTATCTTTTCATAACGCGGTGCAAAAAAGAGGCACTTTTTTAGCACGCCGTGCTAAAAAGTGCGTTTTTTTGCACCTTGTCATGAAAAGTATCGTTCGTAACTTGTGTTAATATTTGCAGATTTTTGAAAAAGTGTTTTTTTTGGGACAAGCTGTCCCAAAACAGCTCATCCCAAAAAAACACTTTTTCAAAAATTTGCAAATATTCGCACTCGTTACGAAATATACTATTTTGTTACCTACTTTTGATAAATAATTCACTTTTTCACTGATTTTGAAGAAAAAAGGTACTGTGATCCCAACTCTAGTGGAAGGAGTGTAATACAGTAGGGAAACACGTTTATCTAACTTCAAATTATTAGATTTCTATTAATTGAAAATTTTCATTAAAAATGAAATTAAATAATTTTTCATTTATTTATTTCAGAATTATAGAGTGTAGTGAATTAACAATTAAAAATGGAGGCTGTGATCCCTTTGCAACAATTACTGCTGTTTACAATAATGGGAAGCAAATACCAAAGCGCACAAAAGTTAAAAAGAAAACTGCATCTCCCTATTTCAATGAAACATTTATATTTGAAGTACGTTATTAACTAGTTTTTATATATATATGTAATTTATTGTAAAATTAATTCTTCAAAAATAGATAATTACATTTTCATTTTTATGATGTCAATAGCAAGAACTATCAGAAACGAAGGAAAAAGATGTTTCTTACTATTCAATCGACAGTTGCGAGGTTGCAGAGGTAATTATTGCTTTATGGCATACAACATCTGGAATGGGAGAACAACCTGCATTTTTAGGGGAGGTGCGAGTTACCTTAGGATTTTTACAGAAGGAATCGGCCAATTCAACAACTGCATGGTACATTTTCTATTAAAAGAAACTAATCGCGCGTTTTCTTTTTCTTTTGGCTTATATTAAGTTAATATTAATTATTAATGTTATAGGTATTTTTTACAACCTAGATTAGTAAAAAATAGGCCAAGTAAAATTACTAATAATTCCACGCCTCCGGGAACTCTACCAGGATTAGGATCATTACGCTTAAAAATACATTACACAGCTGATCATGTATTTTCTTCAGAGATGTATGACAAATTACGAAGTCTTTTACTACAAAGTGTTAATGTAGAACCTATTACGTCTTCGGCAGTTTACATTTTGGGAGAAATTGTGCCAAGTAAAATGGATGCGGCGCAACCTCTTGTTCGTGTTCTTGTTCATCATTGTCAATTGGTTGCAGTTATGAAAGCTCTAGCGAGCCATGAGATTTCCAAACTAACGTAAATATTTTTATTTCAATATATTTTATTTTAAAATAACATGCTTGAGATTAATACATATCACTCTCCTAAGTAATTTTTAGGTACTCTTAAAATTATTACTGAAAAAGTAACAGACCATAAATTTTTTCTTAAGGTAGTTTAATAATTATGAATATACGTTTTTAGGGATCCTACTATAATTTTTCGAGGTAACACCTTAGTAAGCAAAATGATGGATGAAGGAATGCGTCTTGCAGGATTACATTATTTACATAGTACTCTTAGACCAGCAATGGAGCACGTATTTTTGGAAAAAAAATCCTGTGAAATTGATCCAACGAGAATAAAAGATGCAAACACTATTCAAACGAATCTCTCAAATCTAAAGGTATAATACGTCAGTTCTATATTATTTTTTTAAACACAGCCTCAAAAATACGAAAATTTTAATCTATTTAAATAAATTTCAAAGTCTCATATTTTTTTATTTTTCTCCAAGAAAGTTATTGACGTTCAAAAATAGGGAAAATGAAGAAAGTAGATATTTTAGTTTTTAAATTTTTTATACTTATGAAAAAGAGAGAAGAAAAGTGCAAAATATCATTCTAACGATATTGAATGTTATTTAAATTAAATAAAACTTTAAAATAATTGAAAAATACAATTTCTAATTTAATATTAAAGTTTATTAATAACAGCTATATAAAAAAAAATCCGAAAAAACTAAATGTTTCTTGTTTCAAAATAGGAGTATGTTGAACGAGTTTTTACAGCGATAACAACTTCAGGAATAAGATGTCCACCTTTAATGTGTGAAATGTTTGCTTGCTTAAGAGAACTTGCTGCTACTCATTTTCCAAAAAATAAAGAAGTGCGGTATTCTGTTATTAGTGGATTTATTTTTCTGAGATTTTTTGCTCCAGCAATTTTGGGGCCCAGATTATTTGATATTACTAATGAACAAATTGTAAGTAACTGATTATTTTAAAAGTGTTTTTTTTTCAAATACAAATGATAATAAATCAACGTTCAATTTTGTCTTAATTATGAAACTTAAAATTTTTTAGGACTCACAAACGAATAGAACTTTAACATTGATTTCGAAGACAATACAGAGTCTTGGAAATTTAGTAAGTTGTAGGGGTGAAGCAGGAAGTGTTTGTAAAGAGGAATACATGGAGTGTGTCTACAGGTTTGTATTAATTTTACGGTTTTATATTATGATATATTAATTAAAAATAATTAGATTTTTGTTTTAAAGTAAAATATTTATGAATGAGTGAAATTTTATTTTTACTAAACTTATTCAAATTCAAAATTATTTCAAATTATTCACAATAGAACCATTAATTAATAGAGGGAAAATGTTTTTTATCAGTATAATTTATAAAATCTGTTTTTTTTTAATTTAGAGAATTTTATACCGAAAGACATATTCAAGCAGTTAAACAATTTTTGGAGTTAATTTCAACAACAAGCGGAAGCAATACCATTAGACATCGATCAGTTGTTCATCAAGGACAACCAGTCATGCTAAAAGAAGGGTAAGCTTAAATCTTAATAATTTCTACTAAAAGCACGAAAACTATTCCAAAAGTATCACAAAGTGAAGTTTTTTTTAATTAATATATATATAAAGAAGAATTTAAATTAAATAAATAATTCAAAATAGAGGATTGCAGACTTGTTCAATAAAATTAGGATGAAAATTTAAATAAAAATCTTTTCGAGAATGTGTAAACCACCAATAAGTTTAAATTCTACATTTTTAAATAAAAATTACAAAGTTTAGCTCTTTAAAATTCTATATTGTTAAATTATGTATTTAAAAATTAAAGATCGAAACTAATTATTATTTTCCATTCCTTTAAATACTTAAAAAATAATTTCTCCTATCTAATGCAGTTTCTTCTCTTTTTGCTATCTCAATGCTAAAAAAGTGATAAAAAGGTTCGTATAGAAAATGTTTTAATAATGCAAAGTCGACAAATTAACTATTATCAACAAGAATCAATAATATTTGTTACAGAGTAATGATTAAAAGAGCGCAAGGTAGAAAACGATTTGGTCGAAAGAATTTTAAACAAAGATATTTTAGACTGACTACTCAAGATTTAACATACTCAAAAACAAAAGGTAAATAAAAATTGATTTATTTTCAACATTTATTATTGACAGGATGTCCAGCGGATCTTGAAATCTTTGATAAGTCCTTAAATTTTGTAACAAAACCTTAAATTATTAAAATTTTCTAAAATAATGATATTTATTTCTTAAGGGGGGAGCACCACCTTAGTATTTTGACCCCTTTAAATTTAAATGATCGCTGCAAGTTGTAATATTTTTTTAGTGTCAATTTAAGTCCTAAAAAAACATAGAGTGGCCAGCCATAGAAAATATTAATTTTAAGTTTAAAATTTACAATCCACAAATTTTTTTTCACAATTTTTACTATTTTCTATCGACAATTCTTTTCCACGCTTTTTTTTAAATAATTCTTTAGAATTTCTCACATAGATTTTCAAAAAAAGGGAGAAAAAAATGAGTTAAAATTTCATTGGTTTCTCTTCTTAAATATTTTACTTTTTTTACTATTTCAACTAGTTTTCATTGTTAATTTTTTTCAAACTTTTTATATGATTCTTCACAATCTCTTGTATAGATTTTCAAAAAATAAAAATGTATGTTATTAGAACCGAAATGTCAAAAGAAAAAAAAAATATAACTTCCTACGATCATTAAAATTTAAATGACCCTTAAAATATGAAGCCATAAATAAAAAAAAAACTTTTCATAGTTTTTACGCCGAATGTGGACCTTAAAAAATATGATTTTAGAGCTTGAAAAACTTTGAAAAGTCATAGATTTTTTTTTCAAGAATTGGTGGATATCCTGTATTGTCTATATATTTGATGTATTCCACGGCAAATTCCAAGTCCATCTGTAATTGCATCTCCGATTTTTTTGAAACATTTTTTTCTTTTAGTACTAATTGAGACTAGCTGTCATTATTTTTTACAAATTTTTTTAGCATGACGTTTTCGAGATATGAATTTTTCAAAATTTCATAATTTTAATGACTTTTATTTTTGAATGCTCATAACTTTCTTAAAAATGCATTAATTTTTTAAAAGTATTTTTTTCAAATGATATTACTATAAAATTTTTAAGTTTTAAAGATAAAAAGTCATTTTTCTCTATTGACCTACTGATCGATTTTTTTTAAATTTATTAAAATTCTTATTCTTTTACGCAAATTGTAAGCCTATTCAGATCGTGGGCAAACAATTTTTTCAATATTATCTGAATTTTAAAAATTCAAATTTCGAATTTGGCGCAGAATACATAATTTATATACTGCTTTTTACAAATTTTAGTTTAGTGAAATATATAATTTTTTTTCGATTGTTAAAGGCAAAGAACCTTTATGTAGAATACCATTAGAAGATATTTTGGCTGTAGAGAGATTACACGAGAATTCATTTAAAATGAAAAATATGTTTCAAATTGTACAAAAGCAAAGAGCTCTTTATATTCAAGCTGGTAATTGTGTTGAAGAGAAGGATTGGATTGATATTCTCACAAAAATTTGTCACACAAATAGTAATAGATTAGAAAGATATCATCCAAGTGCATACATTAATGGTCATTGGCTATGGTACGTAACATATTATATAAGCTTAGAAATTTTATTTTTTTTTTTTATATATAGAAAATATGCTCGAAATTTGTATATTTATATATAAGGGGCATTCTATTCTAAAATTCTACCCCTAGTAAACAATTGACAGTATAAGACAATTGTTAAATAATTATTTCCCCTATTTAATTAAATCAAATTATTTTTTCAATGAGTAGTTTCGAAAGAGAAATTTCTAAACTTTATTATTGTAAAAAAATGATTTTAAAAAAATATTTAATTAGTATAAAAAATTTAGTTTGAAGGTTTAACTTCTAAATATCTCAAAACACGTTGTCTCCGATTTTGACAAAATCTATGTCGAAAGAAAACTTAAATATTCTATTTTTTATTTCCATAAAGTTTATAATGGACATTTTAGAGGATTTTAAGAAATTAATTTAAATTCTCTGACGTTTCATAGGTAAAAACGTAAATTAAAAAAAAAAAATTGTTTACAGTAATAAAGTTTAGAAATTCTTCTTTCAAAACTACTCGTTGCAAAAGTAATTTGATTTCATTAAATAGGAGAAATAATTATTTAAAAATTATTTGTCAATTGTTTACTAGGGGTATAATTTTAAAATACCTTGCCCCATAAGTAAATCGTAATTTTATTTGAATAGTAATAATTATAATTTTATTATAATAAATTATAATAGTTGTCGAGCTGCAATGGAAGGAGCGCCGGGATGTAGTCAAGTATCACCGGGAATTGAAGCTGGATTACGAATGGTTTTTGATCCCGACCGTGATTTGCAAAGAATTCACTCTCTAATCTTTACAAATATGACACGACTCGAAACATTGATGAGCGCGTGCGAATGTCAAGCTGTATATGGTGCCAGTGAAATGTGCGTATTACCGAATGGAGGATCGCCAATAGAAGACGTTCCAGCTTGTTTTAAAACTTTGATTGCACTTAGAGATGCAACAATTGCTTTGCAATGTGAACACAGATCCTATTTTAGAAAATTAGCACGAGATACTAAATATGGAAGCAAGTGAGTAATAATATTAAAAAGACAAATATTCATTTTCTTTAAAGTATCATCATCAACCAGGTTCATTTTATAATAAAATTCAATTTTATGCATAACATTTTTATTCTTTTTTTTTAAATTTTGTATGCAATTATAGTTTGATAATTAAACATCAACCAGAAATTGTAAAAAAAAAAAATTAGTTACTTAACAGTTATGCGACTAATCGAAAAGTCTTGATAACAAACTTGATGTTTTTAAGTTGTTGTTGTTTTTAAAGTAATTAAAATATTTTTTGTCGTAACTAACTTAAAATTTATCAAAACAATTTTGTATTCAAACCTTAAATTTTTTTAAAAAATGTTTTCTTTTCCTAGAAGTAATGTTCTTTTGAATAATTATATTAAATTTTTTTCAGACAAGCACCGATTGGCGACGACAACTATCTCCATTTGGCCGCTAAAGCTGGATTCGAAAGTCAGTTGGTAAAACGTGGTTATGAATTTGATAGTTTGAATCAGCGAATCGATCAATTCGACAATGACAGTTTATCTCAAAGGATTGAAGATAGAGGTGAAGATCAATCGTTTAGGGAATGTTTCAAGTCCGATTTAATAAAACGTCGTTATGATATTGAAAATAGCATATTAAAAAGATACGAATGTGATAAGTCTGATTCTCTTAGGAGTATTCAAAACGATCTCAAGAAATTTGATTACAGCTTGAAAAACACTTTAAGATCTGACAGGTCTGAGAGAAGCGAAAATGAAAATCTCGAGAATCATAGGTTAGACCATTCTAGTATGTTGTCGACTGACAGAATTAATTTATCCGATACGTTATCAAAAAATTTAAATAACCATGATTGTGCAAGAAAATTGGACAAGGAAGTATTAACAAGACGAATAAAAGATGTAGCTTCCTATGTCTCTTGCAATTCTATGAGTGACAGAAGAGATCATTGAATTTCTCTTGCAATTATCACACATATATATTGTTAGTAAAATGTTTCTTTATTTTTAATTGTATATTGATTTAAAAGAAAACAAATTTTAATTCAGTATTTATCATGCAAATTTAAATTTTTATATTTAAAAATGTATTTTTTTATAAAATAAATAATATCGTATTAAATAATAGACATTTTTACAAATTGAAATATTTTTTAAAAAGATTTTATTTAAAATAAATAAATAAACAATTATTTTAATTTTATAATTAATTCATTTTAATTATCATCGATTGCATAATCGCTGTTGTTAAAAAACTATCTGTCATGAAACAAAAGAGATATTTATTTATGTCAATTATTTTGTGAAATAATACATTTTTAAAAAATTCTCGCAAATAATAGAAAACAACACTTTATTTAATAAAATAAATTTAACAGAAACAATTTTTAAATGAACAAAAATTACAATTATTTAATTAAAAGTAGCTTAAATATTTTTATTCTTAGTTTTTTTTCGTTGAAGGATAACACATTTCTATTTTTAAAAAAACATTTATCTGTTTAATAAATATAAAATATAAATATAAACTTTTAATAAAAATAATTCACTAAATTGCTTTTACTAGAGCACGACTGGTTTTTTTCTGTTTCGTGAGATCGCATAATAATGTACTTTATTTAAAAAAAAAAAAAAAAACCTATAAAACTATAAAATAGTCTCTTCTCTCTAATAAATTAAATATAATTAAAATTGTTTTTACTTCAAATCGTGAGGTTAATTGGACAAAAAGATTTTTTTTTTTTTTTATTACTTTTCAAGTAAAAGTTTCAATCGGGATTTTAGTAAAAACAATTTTAATTATATCATTATTTAAAAGAGTATCAAATCAATTAAATATTATTTTTTAAAGTCTTCTAACGCATTAGACATAGTGATAACATAAATAGTAAGTATAGTAAAAGTGTATCGACCCTTCTCCTGCATTGCGCATAACCATATAGTGCACTACTTTCTTCTAAGTAGAAAAATTCTACTTGTTACTGACAAAGCATATATATATATATACTACATTTTTTATGGAACGTTTAGCAACTGTAAAAATTTAAAATAAGTTTTGTTTTTATAAAAACAGATGTTATTATACGTTGATTATTTTAATTATGTATCCTCTACATTCATAATCATATTATGTGTCAATATGTGTCCCCTTATAATCATGTTGGTTTTATTATTCTAATAATAATGAATTTTCCAATTAATTTTTTTGTTAATATATTGTAATGAAAATAAAATAATGATAACAGGCTAATTAATTAAACGTTTCAAGAATTGTACAAAACTCTTAGTAAATTTGTTAATTTTTAGAAATTTTAATCAACATCTTTGATAATTTAATTATTTAAACAATTTTTAGATTTAAAATATTATTTTTAATACATAAACCCATATCGGACAGCTGTTCGACTAGTTGAACACTACAATTCCAGACGCACTTACAAATGTAAGTGGCATAATTATTGTAATTGTTTATTAATTTTGGTTCTTTAAAAATTTGAAAGTAAACTACTTGTCAATGTTAAAAATGTAGTTGCATAATAATGTATGATATTCTAATATTTTATTTGCAATGTGAAAACTAGTGTTTGACTAGTCGAACAGTTTGTTCGGTCCTATATGAGTTAATATGAATTCTTAGAGAATTTATTTATTTGTAAAAAAGTTGTATTATAAATTCTTTTAAAATTTAACTATCGAAAACTTTTAATTGCAGCATTTTGAAATATCAATTATTTTCTTAAAAATCAAAATTATATATGTTTTTAGTATAAAAATTTTCATATATTCAAATATAGTTTTCAAAATTTTCAGTTGAAAATCTTCTAAAATTAAAAAATTTGAAAACATTTTAATTAAAATTTTTCATAAAATTAATAATTTTCAATAATTTTAATACAATTCATAAAAAAATTAAATTACATAAAAAAAATTTTTGTATTTAAAATTCCTTACAATTCAATTATTGTCATAAATTTGTAAAAAAGTATCTTAAGCAATTCAAATTAGGGTATTGAAAAAATTTGGAAAAAAACATTTAATGACTTTTCAGGGAACGTTATAATTTTTTTCAAGGTCCACTTTCGGCATAGAAACTATGAAAATATTTTTTATTTATAATAAAGTAAGCTTTGTTTCTTAAAGTGTCTAACAACTTCACCGGAAAAAAATACCTAACTTTTTCCTGACTTATATTAATCATTTCTCCGACTTTGATTTAATTATTAATAATAAAAAATTGATTATTATTCAAAGTGTTTTATATTTTAAAACTTTGCTTAAACAAATTAGTTTGCATTTAACATTTTAAGAATTTTTGAAAAATTAAACAATAAATAAATTTTAGAAAATCCTAAAATAAAAGAAGAATTTGAAGGAAAAATTTAAAACACAAATAGTTTGAGGAAAACATTCAGAAAGAAAAAAAACATGACAATTTGAGAAAGGAAAATAGAAAATTTAACGAAATACAAGAGAAACTTTGAAAGAAAAATTGAGAATTTTAGAAATTCACAAAATAAAAATTGACAATTTCTGACTAGTTTGTAAAAGTAAATAAATATATAAAATTAATTAATTGCAAAAAAATGAAAATTTGAGGGAAAAATTTCTTTAAAAACGAATACTTTTAATTTTTGTTGTAACCATAAATTTTTTATTTCTTAAAAAACATTATTCAAAAAGTTATATTAGATAATGTGTTTAAAAAAAAAATTTATTTACTCAAGTTTTCATTTCACCGAATTTTATTTTGATTGACTTTTTATTTAATCGACTAGATTTTTTCATTTAATAAAATTATTTATTAAAATAAGATAAAATATCTGACTGTTTTCTAAGATTTAAAGAATTGTAGAACTTTTTAAATTAGTATTAATCGCGATAAACCGAATTTACATAATATAGTAAACAGTGATATAGATTTAAATATAAATTTATAGTTGTTATTTAAGAAGTATTTTTTTCGGGGAATATAATAGAAAAGAATATTTTGATAAAAATAGATAAAAAAAATAAGCAGATGTTTTATTGAAATTAATAAGATATAAATTATACATATATAGTTAGAGTCCAAATTTGATAAAATTAATTATTCTAAATTTTCGTAAAGTTAGATATAATATATATATATATAGATAATTGACGTATTAACTTTGTAAATCGGGAGGAACTGTTGAAGGTGATTGTAATTGTAAATGCATAAATTTTCGAATTGGACCACCAATAATATTTCCCGCTGGTCCTGAACCGCCTGCTTCTCTTGATAAACTTTCCATTAAATTTGATTCAATTTTATCTTGACTTTTTGGTGTTTCACATAATTTTTCATGTCCCAATGTTTTTTCCATTCGAAGTTCATTGTCTAATTGACGCATATAATCATCCATTTCACCACATTTATCTTCGTCATCGCCTCCTAAAGATTCTTCAGAACTATCATCAAATTCACTATCACCACCAGGCACTGCCAAATCCAATATATCGCGTAAAGCAATATCAAATGCATCAGTATCAAATTCTATTCTACCGGAATCCTCCACGTCTAACTTCATATCAGTATCTCTGCAAAAAATATTAATTTTACAATTCTAGTTTATAAACGTTTAGATTTAATTTTATTATGTATTTATTTACAAAAAAAAGTGAGAGAAAAAATTAGGCTGTATTAAAAACTAGTGTGCGCACTTCGATCGTGAATTTATATTATTTATGTCTTCTTTTTTAAAGTCGGATTTAAAACAATACAAAATATATACATACTGAAACAATTGAACCCCCTCAACGCCACTTGATTCTTTCAAAAAATTTTGTATTTTTCGTCTAAGATTTTGAGACGTTGGTTTTTCTGCTTTAGTTTTTCCATCTCCCCAACGTTCACCTAAAAGATTTTCAAGTTCAACTGGATTTACACTAAGCCAGTCGTCACTATCTGAAGGGCTTAAATTAGATTCATCATGACCTAGAAATAAAAAAAAATTCCACAAAATTCATTGTTAGTAACATAGAAATGAATGTTAGAAATAAAATATTATAAATATATACCTGTGAAATCCACGTCATTTGTCTGTATGTTTGCCCATACTTTTAGGACTTTTTCCTTATCATGTTCAGGCTCCAAATTTAATAATTTATTTGAAGTGGAATTATTGGAAAAATAATCTTTTGCCACTTGTAAAAGTTTTTCTCTTTCACGACTACCTTCCAAAAGATCCTTAAAATAACCACTAAGCTCTAAACGACTGACAAAGGCATTTAATGTTCTTTCACGCATTTTTAATAGATCATTATTTGACACTGTAGAAGTGTCATTCGCTTTTTTTCTCTGTTCTTCATATGCACTTGATATTAACATTTCTAAACCGCATGCTATTTTCACTCCTAAAAGATGTGCATTGTATATTGCACTATTAACAGGTGGTAAATTCCAACCAGTCATTGGATCACCCGTATATCGACAGTGCATTATCATAGCGTACAAGCATTTTGTCATTTTAACGTTGACCATTGTTCGCTGCTCAGGAGGAAAAAATTTCATCCCTCGGCAAACCTAAATGATATATTTATATTTATTTCATTGTTTCATTATTATAATATTCAGGGATTATACTACCTTTACTGCAAAATGATAAACATTTCAGGAGTTTTTTTTTCTCCATTAAAAATAAACTAAAAAAAATAAATGGATTAAAAATTTTATTGCTTTTAATTCAATTAGATAAAGAAAACAATTTTTTCCTTACTTTAACCGAAACATTTTCTTTAAATAAATTTTTCCAATCGAAAAATGTATAATCTCTAAGTAACAGGGCTGCAATCACAATTTTAATCAAAGTATTATTTGGGGCATTCCACGGGAAATTTTTATTCAGAATTTTTTTTTTGTCCGAAATCTATATATGAAAAATATCAACTTCCTTCATTTTTATCAAATAAAAAAATACATATTTTCTTATTTTTCATATAGATTTCGAGAAAAAAAATATTTCGCTCAAAAAAAAAGTTTTAATGAAAATTTCACGTGGAATGCCCCATTTACATTTAAATAATTATTTAAATCAAAGATATTTCAATTTTTTTAATCATTTTTTTTAAAAAATTATTTTAATTTTATATATTTTTTACATTTAATTTTGCATTTTCTAAATTTCAAAATTCATCTTTTAACCTATTGGTGTTCGGAAAAAAATATAAAGTAACTTTTACTATTTTCAAAGTAAAACCTAGTGTCTGAAACTTCTGCGCATTTCTCACAACTTTTGATACGAAAATAAAAAAAATTACTTCTGAAATAGTAAAGTTTTCTCCGAAAATAGTATTTTTTTTACTATTTCCTGAGCAAAAGTTGTCAAAAATGCACAAAAATTCCGGACAGTTTATGTTTTACTTTGAACTTTTTTAAATATTTCTTTAAAAATCTTTACATTATTATTAGTTTTTTAGTTCAAGAGAATCCTGGGAATATTTGTGTATTAAATAAACAAATAAATAAATATTATGTCAAAACTATCATAAACCAGTTTAAGAGTATTGAAAAAATTTCGATTGATTTATTTGTGAAATTTTACTATTAATTATAACAAAGTTATTGATATTTAAAAAATCAGAACATTTTAAAAAACATTTCTTTTTGGATAACTGAAGTTTAATATTTTCATAAAAGTTTTGATATATTTTAAAAACAAATTCTTGTTATTTAAACCTTCTATAAGGTAAGATATTACGAAATTATTGACTTTTTAAAAATCGTCAATTTTAAAAAAGATGAATTGTTGACAATTTTAGGTTTTAATTCAAAAATATTATTTTTTTGATAAGAGTATAAATATTTATTGATGCGTATATTATGCCTTTTTTTAATTTATCGTTTATTTATTTAAAAAAAACTATTTAACAATTAACTTTTTTAAAATTTTACGTAAATAAAGGAAAATCTGATTTAAATAAAAAATATCGGAATTTTTTTAAATCATAATTTTTATCAGCCCTGCTATCTAAACAGAAAAAAATTTTCTTTAAAACTCACAAGGTAGTGTAATCTCTTAAAAATTAATAATTTATAATTTAAATCTCATATTATACGTACGAAAATATACATTCAAATAATATAGTAACTAAAAGTTTGACAAAGAGTCGATCCTCGTAATTGATGATTAACAATAATTAAATAATCTTTACAACCAATATTCTAAAGATCTTCATAATATTAAAATTATTTAATAAAGAATAAAATTGTACAATTTTTAAAATCTTATTAATGATGAATTAATATTTTTTATAAATAACAAAATAGAGGAAGTAGGTAATGAATATTTTTGTTAACAAAAAATTAATAACTGAAAATTGATTTTTAAAATTAAAGCTATTTTCGAAGAGAAAATAAATGATGAAATTCATAATTACCTTGCGTTCAAATGGATCAGAGTGAAAAAGCATTCTAATTGCTGGTGCTATTAATCCAGGATCTTCTTGAAGCATAAACGCAGCCTTTTCTGGTAAATATGCTCTAGCTTTATGTGCACGCTCTTTAATCTCTTCAGGATAAATGTTAATTCTTTTTTGAATTATAGACTGTACAGCCTCGGATAATTTGAATAAATTTGGATTATTAGAAATGCTATTTAAATTATCAAACAATGATTTATCTTTATCGGGAATTACGTGAATTGAGCCATTTGAAATAAATACGCGTTTTTCACAAATTTCTGGATTTGCCCATGATGGAAGAGCATTTGCTGATTCAATCAACAAAAATTCACCATCAGAATCCGTAACTCTAGCAGTTAATCCCTCAAAAACTTTTGTAAGATAATTTATTAAATACACTGTAAACCATTCATCGCCAACATCCTCGTCAAAATGCAATTTTGCATAAATATGTGGAATTAATTCATTATCTAAAACAAAATACACCATTTAAAATGATTTAAAATTGTATAAAACAAAAGAGTAAGATACAATTTTCTTTAATTTTTTGTTTCCAATAAATTGTATAGTGGAAATTATAAAAAAAGTCTAGATTGTGTAATTATATTTTATTTTTCAAAAAGTCAAAATTTCTAAATCGAAAAAAAAATAAATTTATTTTTATAAAATTAAACTTTCAAAATTGAAGAAGGGTAAAAAAATTTTGAAAATATTTCATAACAAAAAAAAGAAATTCATTCAATTATGATGATGAGGAACATTGTAATTTCAAAATATTTTTTTCATATTGTTTCTCTTAATTTTTTTTTGTCATAGATATAATGAGCCAAAAGTTTTGAACGTTCAAATGAAAAAAATTTTTTTTACAACTTCTTTAAATACGAATTTTATTACAAAATTTTGTTTTAAATATCTAAAAAGAAATTATTAATTTAACAATTGTTTAATTTACTGTTTTATTCAACATTGACATAATAATTTTTAATAATTTAAAGATTGAAAAAAATATATTTCGTTCATTTGAACGTTCAGAACTTTTGGTTCATATAGATATATTTGAGGATCAAGTTTTCAAAACCTGATAAATCCATATTTTCTTATTTCGATAAATTGAAACGATTGAAATAAATGACTTTTATCACATAACCACTACAGTTACTTATAAAATATAAAATTTGTAATAGTTTATTTCTAGATAACAATGTTTTTATATTCAAGACGTTCTATTTATAATTAAACTTTATCATAATTTAGTGATTTACAGGTTTTGGTAATTTTTTCTAATAAAAAACATAAAAATTATGAGTCATCTTGGTTATGTCAAAAAGTTTTTAAATTGAAAATTCGTTGTTAATCAATTTTTTTTCTTAAATTTAACAGTGAAAGGAATATTTGTGAAGTCCTTAAAATATTAAATTTATGTTTATCTCCATTTTTTTTGAAAAATGGATTTATCAGCTTTTAAAAATTTGCTCCTCATTTTGATGCGAATATTTAAAAGATTTTTTTTTAAACTTAAAAATAAAAATTAATATTCTAAGAGATAACTATAACTGAACAGTTCAAATAAAAATGATTCTTTAAAATTGCATTTTAAAATAATTATAACAAACTGCGTAAATAATTAATTTCAAAATTTAATAATTTACCAATTTTAATAAAAAAAAAAGAAAAGAAAAATAAAACACGTGCTTTTGCGCGCGTTTTGCAAGAAGTAGAACATAATTACCCTCATATCCGGATCCTTCAATAATTGTTTCAAGTAGAAGTGAACGTTTTGTTCGTGGAAAAAATGTTAATGAATCTTTGTGCCATATATAGTCTTTTGTGATATGTTTCGTTGCATCATAATATTTATTAATTTCTTCAAGAAGCTTTTCTTCAGTTATTTGTTCGAAATTTTTTGTTAAACAAAATTTTGGATAAAGAAAGCATTCAATAACATCGTCACTTTTTATAACAACATTAGCCATATTATAATTCGTAACAATTGCGTTTTATTTAAAATTTATTTAAACTTCTTAATAAACTGCAATTTGGAGTTGCATGCTTTTTATTTTTTTATACATAAAGTAGACTGTTCTAAAAATGAAACTTTTGGGAATAGTTTTTGCGGTATTTGTTATTGTCACTAAATTATAATATAAAAGTTCTTCTACAATAAGTGTCAATGCAGATGTCAATGGGTTAAAGGTACAATCACAACTATGCAGATAGTCTGTTTAACAGTTGGTTGTCATAGCAACGAAATTCGTCACGAAAAATATGTTACTTTACCGCAATGAAAGTGGATTTTAATTGGTCGACTAATTTTCTTTATTATTAAATTTTTATTTTTTTTATTAAAAAATAACAATAAATTAATAAATAAAAAACCCTCGTTATACTACTATGCAACTATTGTAGAAGCAGCTTTATGCGATGATGGAGCCTCTGATGGCAATCACGTGAACTGAACTCAAGCCTTCTATGTACAGTGTGTATTGTAAATTTTTATGTTTTTACCAGAACCCTTCTCTTCTGATACTTATGTTTATTTTTGATTTTCTTCAAAAATTTATGAAATACCAGAGTTGCGTAAAGAAAACAAAGTGCAAATAACATCAAGACAAAGAAAAACAATTAAGCATACTTGCTGAAATTATTAAAAGACAAGTGTACAATTCTGACAGTTGTCAACAGCCTCAAGTTATTTAACAAGAAGAAAACAAATATCTGGACAAATAAAAATGGTGAGTCAAGTTAATTTATTTTTTTATCCAAAATAACACTTACAAAGTATTCATTTCGTTAGTTGGCCTTCGAAATTACAGTAATAGATATTAAAATTGTCTATGATAAATATACTTACATAGTGGTAAAAAACAATTAAAATAAGAGATAAATAGATTGTTTTTTTATTCAGATATTTTTTTTTATTATTAACAGATTGTAAATAAACATAATCTAATTTTTAAAAGATACTTACTTACAGGGATGTAGCTATTAAAATTTCAATAGATGTTAACCTCCTCTGAAAGGGGCCTAATAAAACGAAGTATAAAAAGTTTGATTCAAAAGATAAAAAGTTGGCTGAACTTAGAAAATAAAATCCTACATTTTATAAATTAATTTTGAAAAGTATATTTTCACTTTTAGTAACAAATCAGTTTTTAGAATTTCATCCTGTAACTTATTTTAAATTTGATACTATTTTAAATCTCCTTATATTTTTAAAAATTACGATATTTAACTGTTTTATAAATTCAAATATTTTAATAAGTTTATTAATCACAATATTATGATGTAAATTAATTTTTTAATGAGAATTAATAATTAAATAATAATAATAATTAAAAATATAAACTAGAAACATTGTCTCTTCTTTTTCAAATATTTTTCCTAATTCCATTAGGCACTAGTTAACTATTTAAAACAAACATACGAGGAAATTTTTAATAGAATATCTATATAAAATAATATATAGTGAAAAAAATACAATTTTTGCAGTAAATCTATTCTAGCGACTGTCACCTTATTGCATGAAAACCCGCAATTATTTTTAACTATATAATAATACTGATTTTGTTTGTGAAAAAAAAATTAATAAAAAATGGAAAAAAAAATAATCGCCCGAACAGGGACTTGAACCCTGGACCCTCAGATTAAAAGTCTGATGCTCTACCGACTGAGCTATCCGGGCCTGTGACATTTCGTTCTTTAAGTTTTTTCGTATTATTTCAAAACAATTATACTATTAAAAATGCCATAAATGGTATATAAAGATAATAGCAAATTAATTTTTTATAATAAATTCAGTAATTTGAACTATTTTTAATAGGACATTAATTGTTATATTATCAATATTAAAATTTATAATTTATTAAACTATCAATAAATAATATTAATAATTATTGTTCTTTTGAAAAAATATATGCTATTTTTAAAATTAAAATTGAATGGTCATCACCATGTGTGGGCGATGACTAATATTCCCCACTACAGCGGCCTATGGTCTAGACCATTGTTTGCAACGCGCGGCGCCGGGGCGTCTGCATCGTATTCGGTATTATCGAGCGTAATCCCTCCATAATTATTTTTTTCCCATAAATATAAAATTTTTTAATTTTCACATTTTTTAATTTTTTATTATAAATTCATCTTTTTTTGTCTTTTTACTACTCTAATCATTTTATATCATTTGTTTAAAAAATATTGAAATTTAAAAATATTTTTTATTTTTTGAGAAAAGACAAAAGTTAATCTGAAAATTAATTCCATAAAAAAAAAGTTATTTTTTTCTATTTACATAAATTTTTTCATATTATATTATTTTGTCAATAAGTATAAATAATATTGAGGATTTAGAAACAAAAGAAAAAAATTTTATTACTAAATACATTTTTTAACAGAACTCGAAATTCTGGAAAATTTAAATTCTGAACTTCTCTGATATAATAATTCGTCGATTGAGTTAATTTTATTTTTATGAGATTTAAATTTTTATATAAATATCATTGCTAGAAGTTCTGAACGTTCAAATGAACGAAATCATTTATTTGGTTTATAAATTTTTTTAAAATTATTACAGGAATGAAAAATCAAAAATAGTACAATAAACAGTTAATAAATTATTATTAATTTATTTTTGAGTATAGAAAGCAATATTTTATATTAAAATTTAAAGTGAAAAAAGTAGTAGATAAATTTTTCGTTTATTTGAACGTTCATAACTTTAAGTACATTAAATAATTAAATAACACGAACAAAAAGTTTGTTAAGTTCAATTATTTATATTCATCGACAATTTCAGAAATTAAAGAATGTTACCTTTTTTAAAAAAAAATAATAATTTAATTGAACAAATTAGAAATTGTAATAAATTTTCATTCGTTTTCATTAGTCAAAACATTTATTTCACGTAATTTTAATTGTTACTAAATTTAATCCTTTCAAAATTTTACACGATCTAAATTAAGAATTAATTTTAATTTTAATTAACCTTTAATTTAGACGATATATTCGATCAAAACTTATATTTGTCAAATCCATACAAATTTAAATTAATTCAAAATTCAAGAAATTCTATAATTTTTTTCGGTAAAAATTTTAATAGATTCACAATTAAATTTATCCAAATTATTATTTAATTAACTTCGATATTAAATTGAACTAAATTTATAATCTACATTACAATTTCAATTTATAGAAATGTTAATCAATTAAAATTTTCTATTCATTTAAATTTCAATAAATCCTAATTTTTATTGGTAAAATATTAAATTGAGAATAAAACAATCAATTTATTTAATTTTTTATCATATTCAAACTATAATTAATTCAAATTTAAATTGATTAAAAATTTTAATTTGTTCAAATTGTTCAAACAGATGTAAATTAAAATTTATATATATATAAACTTTAATTAATTTTCATTTATTCTAATTTTAATAAATTTCAAATTCAATCGATCTAGACCTCTAAATTTTAATCAATTAAAATTTCTCTATACTCATTCAAATTTTAAACAATTTTAATTTTTATTGATAAAAATTTATTTTAAAGGAACTTTTAATATTTAATTATCCAAATCTTTATACAAAATGTAGAGTAAAATTGATTTTGTTATTTTGTATGTATGTTAAAAAAAAGTTAACTAGGTATATAATTTAGGCTGTGTTATAAGTTACTAAATTGTGGGAAAAAAATTATAAAAATGAAAAAAATTAATAATAAATAATAAGCTTACAAAAAATTGTCAGCAGTTTTTCAAGAAAAATTGAATAAAATAAAAAAAAAATTTTTCAAGTTTTATGTAATGTTTTTTACTTTATCAATATTTGCCAACTCGATAACAATTTCAGAAAATGAAATATTTTAATTCTTTTATGACTTAGGATGATGAAGATCAATATCAGACAGGTTATGGTGGCTGTAGTGGTCCTTTTCCTCAAGATTATAGCTACTCAGCTTTTGATGGAGAAGCAGATGGATTATCTGGTCCCTTAACAGGGGATCAAAAACCCAGAATACTTTTAATGGGTCTCAGAAGGTAATGTTCTGTTTACTTTATCCATACTATTCAATATTAAAATTTTATTTACGATTTATAAGTAATTTTTTACAAATTTTAATTTTTGGCTAAACTTTAGAAAATATAATCTTACGTATCAAAAAAATTATTTACTATAAAACAAAATTTACAAAAATTTACAAATAGTAAATGTAAATAATTTTTTAATTTCTCTGTATTTATTTCTAGGAGTGGAAAATCTTCAATTCAAAAAGTTGTTTTTCATAAAATGTCTCCAAATGAGACATTATTTTTGGAAAGCACAAACAAAATTATTAAGGACGACATTTGTAATTCGAGTTTTGTACAATTTCAAATTTGGGATTTTCCAGGGCAAATTGATTTTTTTGAACCAACTTTTGATAGTGATATGATATTTGGTGGTTGTGGGGCATTAGTTTTTGTTATTGACGCTCAAGATGACTATATGGAAGCTCTAAATAAATTGCATTTGACAGTTACAAAAGCCTATAAAGTTAATCAAGCAATTAAATTTGAAGTGTTTATTCATAAAGTCGATGGTTTGTCTGATGACTATAAAATGGAAACACAGAGAGATATTCATACTAGAGCCAATGATGATTTGGTTGATTCAGGTAATTTATTGATTTTATCATTTTTGTAATAATTTTACTTAAGATTTTAGATTGAATTTAACATAATTAACAGGACTCGGATTATACGACTTTTTCGACTTTTTCTGACTTTTTTTTAAAAATTCGACATTTTTGATTTTTTACAATTTCTTTTAAAAAATTTATAAAAAACGTCGTTTTTAGTATGCAATGTAGAACTTCTTTAGATCATCTTTATTTCAATTATTTAATAAATTTTTCTTTGAATTAAGTAATTATTTTTAATAATTTTAATGAAATTCTTGACAAATTCGATTATCTTAAATTATTTTTCAATTAAAAATTTTATGAAATTCAACAATTATTTACAATTTGAAACAAAATCAAATAAAATTAACAAAAATTTCAATTTAAAACTTTTTGAAATTTAATAATTTCCATTATAACTCTTCCGAAATTCAATTATTTGAAAGGATTATTCAATTAAAAACTTTTGAAATTAAATTTTTGTCTGTAATTTCTAAAAAAATTTTCATCAACAGAAATCACCAAAAACTTTCAATTAAATTCACTTGAAGTTCTGATTAATTTCAAAAATCTGAATTGTAAATCTTTGAACATTCAATTACTTTTAAAAAATATTATCTAAAAGTTATTTGATAAATTATTTTCAATTCTGTAAAATTTAATTATTTCTTAAAATTTCAACTATAACTCTTGCAAAGTTTAATTATTTTTAATAATTTTAATATTTCTTTAAAAATTCAGTTATTTAAAAAAGTTTCAAATAAAAACTCTAAAACTGAATTGTTATCAAAAAATTTTCTTTTTAGAAATTTATCCCACTTATAAAATATAAAAAATTTACGTCTTCTATTCTAAAATATTCAAAATAAATTTTCTTGATAATATTCCTATAGAATTATTCTTATTGAGAAATTAATAAAATAGATTTAATATTTAATAACATTAGTTATTTACAATAAAATACTTATTAACTAATTAAATTTAATTAAAATAAAAAATCGATTTTTTGCGCCTTGAAGTCGATCCGAGACCTGAATTAAAAATGTTTACCAATAAAAATATGATATAAAAAACAATTTTTTTATAGGCTGTGATCAAATTCATTTGAGCTTCCATTTAACTTCCATCTATGACCACAGTATATTTGAGGCATTTAGTAAAGTTGTACAGAAATTAATTCCGCAATTGCCTGCTTTAGAAAATTTACTAAATATTCTTATTTCTGTAAGTATAGGAAAATTCATTATTTGCATTTAATTAACTTTGTATAATTACATGATGTTTATATAATAAACACTTACTTAATGAATGTTAATAGAATTCTGCAATCGAAAAGGCTTTTCTCTTTGACGTGGTTTCAAAAATTTACATTGCAACTGATAGTTCTCCAGTCGATATGCAAAGTTATGAATTATGTTGTGATATGATAGACGTTGTAATTGACGTTTCTTGTATATATGGGTAAGATAAATAATTTCAAGAATTTTCATATTAATGTTTTATAGGTATAATGAAAATGTGAATAATGACACTTTTTTACAGAGTAAGAGAAGACATTGAAGCAGCTGCATTTGACGCTCAAAGCTCTAGTTTAATTAAGCTAAATAATGGTACAATACTCTATTTGCGAGAAGTAAATAAATTTTTAGCCCTTGTGTGTATATTGCGTGAAGACAGTTTCGAGAGACAAGGTAAGCAATTTTTAGCTATAAATAAATACTATTTTATTTACTATTTAATCTTTTATGGTCGAAAAATATTATTAAAGAGAGGTGAAAATAAACGTAAACATTCAGATAAATAGTTTTTATTTCATTAAATAAAAACTATTTGCTTCGAATAGTTTCAATCAATTTATTCCAACGTTTCTAAATCTAAAACGATTTCCATAGTTTTTAGTTTTAATGGCCAAAGAAATTTCGGACATTTTACAGATTTTTAAATTTAACTTTTTTTAAATACATAATTGAATTGTAGAAGATTTTAAATTTAAATAAATTTTCTACAAATTTAAACTGCTGTAATTTTTCTTTTTTTAATTTTTGAAAACAATTAAATTTTAGAGCATTTATTATTTTAAACTTGTTTAAGTAATTGAATTTTTGAAGAATATTATAAAAATCATTAAAAATAATTGAATTTTGAAACTGTTACTGTTGAAATAATTAGAAATAATTGAATTACAAAAGATAATAATTATAATTTATAATTCAGATTTTTTAAAATAATTGATGTTCAAGTGAAATTGAATTGAATTGAAATTTTTTGTGATTTCTTTGGATGAAGAATTTATTAGAAATTTCAATAAAAAATTAAATTTCAAAAGTTTATAATTCAATTTTAGAAGAGTTAGAGTTTAAATTATTCAATTTTAGAAACTTTTAGCTGGAAAATTATAGAAGGTTTTATAATATTTTCTCCTTTTTTATAAAAAATAAAACATTTCGTAACGTTGGAGTAAACTAATTAAAACTTCATCTATTTTTTTATCCCTTAAGCTGCGGAGTTTTACGCAATTAATTAAAAAAATTTTTTTTTTTTTGTTTAGGTGTCATAGATTACAACTTCCTTTGCTTCAGAAATGGAATTCAACAAGTATTTGAGCTAAGAAATAAATCGCTAGCTGCTGTTGGCGCAAATAATCATTCAACGTCTCCTATTAGCATAAGTGAATCGACAAATATGCCTTCTGCTGTTACGCAATCTGGGCAAAATGGTACAATTGTGCTGGCTCAAAGTTAAGTTAGTAAAAAATCTTGTCTCATTCCACACATTTAGTTAACTCAAGATAAATATTTTTAAGTTTCAATATTTTATTTCTGTCATTAAAGTTTCAAATATTCAAAGATTCATGAAAAGTCAAGTATTGTTTTTTTTTCTTCTCAAATACATTTAACATATAATTTTACTTTTAAATATATTAATATTGAACAAATAAATATGATTATATTGTATATTTAATTTCAATTAGATAGTATTTATTAATGTTATCTATATGGATTTTTTTTTAATTCAGTTGAAAATATAATTTATTTCAATAACAGGGATATAATACAACTAATTGAACAAATTCTTTAAGCACATTTATAAAATTTGAAGAACCATTAATTTTATTAGTTTTACATTAAATAATGATAATATGTATCAAAATTGATATATTTAATGTACATATTTGTACAGGATGTCCAAAAAAAAGTTCTAGATCTCCTTAAAAAGGTTTTTTATATAAATTGTTTTTCTTATTGATATCAAAAACTTAAAATTTAGATTATTAGGAATTTTCTTTTGATATCCTATTATACGTATAATATAATTGTATGCTAGTCGCATAAATGTTACATATGTATTTAGAATTATTCAAACAATTTGATAGATTAATATATATTTTTTGAAAATATATAGATCATTCATTTTTCCCTCTGTTTCCTTTTATCATTCTAAAATTATTAATAAACTTTCTTCATGTTATTGCATTGACATTTAGTTATTGATTGCATTATCTATATAGCAATATCTAATTCATTAAATGATAAAATATTTTGGAAAAACGAAAAATAAAGATGTAGTATTTGCTTTTTGTTGAAAAAATTTTTTTTTAAAAATATATATTTAATTAAATAAATAAAAATGTATTAAATTTCATTTAATCTTTGAATCTATTTACATTGAAAGAATGAAACTTTTAAAGCATAGCTTTTAAATTAAAAAAAAATATTTATTTCTATATATACATTTCATAACAATAACAAAAACTATTTTGATGAAATTATGTTGTTGGCATGCTATAATTAAAAGCAGATGTCAAACCAGATACTGTAAAAAGAATAATGAATTGTAACATATAGTGAATTAAATTTTACTCATTTCTAATTTGCTATACTTACAGTATGCAAAGTTGTGATGCTGCACTGCATTACGTAAAGCTAATGCCAATTGTGTATGATACTTAATGTAAGTGCTTTCTAGTAAATCCAATTTCTTCCCATCCAAATAATGATATCCTTTTTTCCAAATGTCTCGAACATTTATACACATTTCTAGTAACTAATTGTTAAAAAAAAGAAAATATCAATAAAATTCTGACAAATTCAAGATTACGAGAAAGTTTTAAGTTTTTTTTTTTTATTAATGAAGGGAAATACATTTTTTTTCTTTACCTGATTGATTATTATCATTAAATCTTCGAATTGAGAAGTTTGCAAGCAATGCTCAAGTACTTTATTTAAATATTCTTTATGAACTGAAAAAAACAAAAAGGTATATATAATATCCTTCTAAGAAGATGTTAATTGAAATAGATTTTAATTATTCGAATTAAAATAAAAATAAAAATTTCGATTGGATTAATCTTAATTTTTTTTTTCATTTTAACGAAATTGAAATATAAATAATATTTCGTCAATAACTAAATAGAATTCAAGTTTTTAGATGAATAAAACATACTTTTGATAATTGAATAAAAATTATCTGCTTGAGTTAACTCATCATCTAAAGCACTTCCTAAACTTTGAAGCACTTGACCTGAAAGATAAATGTGAATTGCTCCAATAGCATGTAATAACCAAAATCTTAAACACTCGAGTCTTCTCATTTGAAAGTGTTTTACAGCATCAATTGGTGCCTCAGATTTTGATCCTTCAAGGTCTATAAAGGAAAATAATATAAATTTAATATTTAATTCTAATAAACAATTATTGATTTTAAGAACAGACTTTATATTTTTATCTTCATATAAAATTTGACTAAGAAAAAGACGAAATAATAACCTGAAAATGACAAACTATTTAAAGTCCAAACGACCCATTTTAATTTCAAAACAAATCTGAAAATAATGTTATATTTATTGAGTGTTTCTTCATTGAGAAGTAAATTAACTGGCCAGTCTACTGAATAATTTAAAGTTATTCCATTCACGGCATTTAACACTTGACGAGTTCTTGCACTATCAATAGTAATTGACCAACGTGAACTTAATTCTGGCAATTCTTCGGAAATTACTTCCTCCAAGATTACTGATAGAAAATGTGAATTATTCCAATTAACATTTGACTCAATCTATAAATATTCAAAGAAATATATATATATATATATTTACAATACAAACTAAATTAAAACGAGCGGAATTTCAATGTATTATGTTTAAGGAAATAAAAATACCTCATTGAACATTTGATTACAAAACTTATTCATTAGATGACCTTTCTCCATCATAAAAATACTTCTCATTAATCTCAAATTTTCCTCTAATTTATATTCCTTGATCATTATTTGTTTGACCAATTTATTAGCACCATTGTAACGAAGGTCAAGAATTTTTGAAAGAGAAATTTCGAAAATTTTTCTCAATGGTAAAATTGACTTGGATGCAAGTTCAAATCTAGAATATTTTATATTTTTAAACATTTAGTAACATTACACGTTATATAATTACATATTAAGTAAATGGAAATTTTTATTTTTAGATATAACAATAGGGTTGTCACAAAAGGATGATTTTTACTCGGATTTTTAAATTTCATGAATTTCCATGACTTAAAAAAATTTTTAATTTAAATTTTAATAATTAAATAAAATTGTTTTCATAAATTTTTAGCTAGTTTCCAAAAAATTGGAAAAATCGACTTTTTTAAATTTAATTGGTTAGTATATATTTTACTTTTAATAACTAATATTATTAGATACTAAATTCATTTTATTAACTCCTTAATAAGAATATTATCAATAAAATTAATTTCGAATATTTCAGAACCATGATGAGACAAATTTTCAAAATTTAAATTAAATAGAACAAATTTCTAAAAAAAATTCTTAAAGTTCTATTTAAACAAAATTTTTTAAAGTCTGATAATCAATTTCTCGAATTTATAATTTTGGAATAGTTTTTAGATTTAAAATCAAACAAATTTCAGAAAATAATTAAGTTATACAGATTTTTAAATAATAATAATAATTTTTTTTTAATAATTGAATTGTAGCAGATTTTAAATTTGAAATAAATTTTCCGCAAATTTAAACTGTTGTAGTTTTTTTCTTTTTTTTTAATTTCTGACAACTCAATTTAAGAGTTTTTATTTAATACCTTTTTAAATATTAATAATAATAATAATAATAATAATAATAATAATATGAAAATTATCAAAAATAATTAAATGTTGGGAGTGTTACAGTTGAAATTTTTAGAAGTAAATTTTAGATTTTAGACAGTAATTAAATTTACAGAATTCAAAATAATTTATCAAATAATTTTAGATAACATTTGTATTTTAACTAATTGGATTTTCGAAGATTTACCATACAGATTTTTGAAATTAATTGAACTTCCATTTATTTTTAATTAAAATTTTTTGTGATTTCTATTTATGAAGAATTCATTAGAAATTATAGGAAAAAATTAAATATCAAAAGTTTTTAATTGAAAAATTCTTTCAGATAATTGAATTTTCAAAGAATATTATAAAAATTATTAAAAATAATTAAAATTTGGAAAAGTTCTAGTTGAAATTATTAAATTTTTAAAAATAATTGAATTGCAAGTGACTTTTAATTAAAATTTTTGGTAATTTTATTTTCTGATTTTTTTTTTAATTTTAAACAATTATTGAATATTTAAAAATTTTTAATTGAAATGTAGTTTAAGATTTTTGAATTTGTGAAGAATTTCATTAAAATGAAAATAATTAATTTTGAGAATAATTTTATTTTAAAATTTGTTAAATAATTGAAATAAAGAAGATTTGCATTGTATATTAAAAAAGACGTTTTTTTATATTTTGTAAAAACTGTAAAAAAAATCGCAACTTATTCTATTGCATGTTTAAAAAAATATATATTTTAATTAAATTGACAAATTTACAATTAATAATATTTAATATTACTTCAAAATTATTATTTTTACATTTTCTGATAAAATAGATAAAATGACTACAGAACTGTTTCTTCACATTTTGAAACAGAAAAATTTTTTAATTCATGTAAGTATTTCACTGGAAAAAATTAAAGGAGTTAATGGTGACTGGAGTTGGGAGTAAATTTTTTGGAGTTAAAAGTCAATTTTAAAAGTGAGTTAATCATTATATTATTTTCCTTAGCATCAAAAAATCAACATTGTCTTTCTAAAAAAAAAGTAAAAATTCTTGATTTTAAATCCGTATTTAGAATCGAAAATTTAATAGATTAAAGAAAAAAAGGATAATAAAAATTAGTTATAGAAATTAGAAAAGTTATTAAAAAAAAAATTGTAAACTTAAGATTTTTTCTAATCAAATATAGGAAATTAATATTTTAGAACGATATTTCATAAAATTCCCTGACATTTTCAGGTTTTCCATATGACTGAAAAAAAATTCCATAACAATTCCAGGTTTTTTAGAACCGTGGCAACTCTGAACAATTAATTATTATACAGAGGGATTAGAAAGTAATAAAAGAAACAATACTTACAGAAATAAATTCGATGATTTAATTTCTTCTTTTTTATTGGATCTATAATCAATTTCATCATAGACGTATGTTTGCCTCCCATTTAATGATGAATATTTTTCGAAAGCTTTCATGTAAAATGGATTATCCGCTATTAAAGGCTGACACAAAAAACTATCATTAATTAAATCTTGAGGTGTGAAAATTGTTTGTTTATTTAATATGGCATCTGTTCTATCGCATGTAGAATGAATAGAATATTTTAAAGTTTCCGATACAACTTGCTTACGAAATTCTTCGTTTAACGAAATTAACCTGGCTAAAAGAGAAAAAGTATAAATTATTTTTATGTAATGTTCTTGATATCAGAATTGATTAAAATTTATTTAAATTATTAACTCATATTATTCCTGACGTTGCAAGAACTTTAATTTAATAAAAAAAATTTTTTTTTTAATATCCTATACAATGTTTATACTTTAAAGTAGAGATATATCTCAATTGACTTTTTTTTTTAAAGAAATATATACTGATAATAATATAAAAATGAAGAATATTTTTTTGGCTTAAAGAAAAGAGGAAAATAACTTTTCAAAATTATTTATAATTGTAAAATTTTACCATCTTGATCATTCATGGTGTCCCACATGTCGGAAAGACGGTCCAATGTAACAAGTAATTCAATGTTACGACCCATTTGACAAACTTTTTTCAACAAAAGTTGCATTACAGGATCCTTTATACTTTCTTCTTGAAGTTTTCTCACTTTAAATTTTTTATACAATTGTTCTCCTTCTAGTGATTTTCTATCCCATTCTCTAAATAATAAATAAAATTTCTTTTTAAACGACATAACTTTTAAAGGACTAAAAATTCAAGATACAGTGAAACTCAGTTTATATACATCAGTTTGTGCAATATATATATTATATATATATATGTATATACAAGATTAAAAAATATCTAGTATTTGTAAATCTTTCTCACCTAATAATAATAAATTCATTTCTCCAATCTTCAAGTCGACCTTCACTCAACCAAACGTCTATGATATTTAAATAAGCAGTAATACTAGATAAATATAAATTAGCACAAACATGAGTCCTTTCATGACTAGAGGAACTTTGCATCTCGTTATATAAAGTAGATAATAATTTTGAAGCGCGTAGCCAATTTGAACAATTTTCCCAGTTTTCTGTTGCAGACTGATGAATTTCGTAGAGAATTTTAATCAAATTTAAATGTTTCATTAACTCTTTAGATAATGCAAGAAATGTATTAAAACCTTCTGTAATTAATAATAATAAAAATAATATGACGGTATAATTAGTAAAAAAAAAGTCGATTTCATGTATTTATATTTAACATGTTAATTTCAATGTATATTTTTTCATACTTTACAAAAAAAGGTACACCTATTTTTGTATGTATGGAAAAAATTTTCGAGTCATGAATTTTCAAAAATCTAGTTTCTAGATAGATAAACTAGATCTATTTTTAATTACCTATAACTAGAAAATTATTGAATTTAGAACATTTTTTCAAAAAAAAAAAAGAAAAGTTTAGTTTTTTTCGACCTTTAAACAATGTTAACGAAAAAAAATTGTTTGAATTTTTATATAAAAACTAGCAATGTTTTATAAACAAATTGATTTTTTCAAAGAATTTTTTTAACGGAATTATTATTTAGGAGGATTTCTATTTAACTGATTTTTTTTTATGTCAGATTCTTTATTTCACTGAATTTTTATTTAACAAAATTTACATTTATGAGAATTTTTATAAAGCAGAATTTAACGGACTTTTTTTTGTTCAAAAGAATTTATAGTAACTGAAATTTTTAATTTAACATAATTTTTGTTTTTTTTTAAATTCGTTTAAAGAAAAATTCTGTATTCACAATAACTTTTATTTAAAAAAATTCTCAGTTAAAAAAATTTCTTTTTAATCCAATTTTTTATATTAAATTCACTAGTTCATATTTTTATTTTATTGAATTTTACTTTTACTAAATTTTTAAGTAACAGAATTAACATTTTAAGGGAGTTTCTATTTAACGGAAATTTATTTACTCGAAAAAACTTAACAAAATAAAATTTTTTCCAATCATAATTACACGATATTTGTAATAGAATGAGAATATAAATTACCTTGAATAATTAAATTTCGTTCTAATTCAACAATTTCTTCTTTAACTTGAAGTACATATTGCTGTAAAGCATTGTTATAGGCTTCATAAGTTAAAGGTGGTTTTTGTGCTTCCTCCAATAGTTGACTTTGAGAATATAATTTTCGACTGAACTCTTGTAATTCACGAATCATTGAAAAGTAATGACAGTATGTCAGTAAATTACTTTTAAAAGCTGTAACAGTTAGACTTGGTATTGATACATTATCACGAACAAAAAAATCCAATGATTCTTTACTCTGAAAAAGGGCCATTGGCTTTTGAATGTGAAACATCCAAAGTAATTCTCTACAAGTTTGATATTCGCTTATTGTGTTAATATTGTGATGATGTTTTGAAATATTTTGTCGACAAAATTGAAAACACATTGCACTTGAAAGTTTACTATTTTCTTCAAGTTGATGTCGACTAACATCATTCCACCAAGAATGTTGAATTTTACTTGCTAACCAATTTTTCGAATGTAATTTATCGGCAATACATAAGGATAATTTTTCAATCTTATTTTCAGATTCTTTAACATTTATTGCTAAACATAAGTCCTTATCGTTTGAACAAATTTTTAACAGATCATTTTCCGGCAAATCAACACCTTTAACATCCTCATCATCTGTCCAATCAGAATCACTACTACTGCTACTTTGATATTTGGAAAAAAAGGTTTCTTCACCTTCCTTTAAATATTTGGCCCAATCAATATCATCTGGCTTATCCTCATTTGAAGGTACATTTGCAATTTGTTCCAAACTTGATAAATCAGAGTTATTAGTTTCAGTGGATAAATTTAATAAAAGTGTCAATAATGACCATTGTATATCATATTGTGGATGTCTTCCAAAATCGAAATTATTTAAAAATGAATCAATAAGCTCCTGAAACTTGTTTGCAACTTCATATTTACCATGAATTTGAAATTTCTCAACTAACTCTGATATTTCTTTTTTTGTCATATGACTATTAACAGACAAATATCGATGATGTTTTATTTGTGATAGAGCAAAACGCTCACATAAAACAAATCCTTCTTCATCTTCCTATTTATAAATTGAATTTGGCATAATTATAAAAATATATAATTTTTTTTTAATATTTTTATTTTTACATATTTTTTTCATTCTAAAAATTAATATTTTCAATTTCATGTAATGAAATTTTCTAGTCAAAATTTCTTTTTTAATAGAATATACGACAATTATGTTGAAGAAAGTGAACTTAACAAACTTTTTGTTCGTGTTATTTAATTATTTAATGTACTTGAATTTATGAACGTTCAAATAAACGAAAAATTTATCTACTACTTTTTTAACTTTAAATTTTAATATAAAATATTGCTTTCTATACTCAAAAATAAATTAATAATAATTTATTAACTGTTTATTGTACTATTTTGATTTTTCATTCCTGTAATAATTTTAAAAAAATTTATAAACCAAATAAATGATTTCGTTCATTTGAACGTTCAGAACTTCTAGTAATGATATTTACATATATAAAAATTTAAATCTCATAAAAATGAAATTATTTAAACAAATTTAAGCAATTTGAAATAATATAAAATGAGTTCATTGCTGCGCGTTCAAATCACTTTTTTGTGCTCTAAGAAATATTTATTCTTAAACTATTAATTGATAAAGTAATAAACTTTATTTTTTAAAGACATAAATTATTTAAACAAAAAATGGTTTTAAAAAATTTCAAAATTTATCTGAAAACTATTAAAAAATTATTTGTAATTTAAAATATTGTGATAATTTTTTTCAATGATAAGAAAAGATCTTTATTTAAAGAAAAGAAAATTAAAAATTTAATTTAAGCCATTTATCATGTTTTAACACAAAAAAACTGCAATAAACATCAAAATATGTTCAAATACATGGTTTTATTTAAATTTATAATTTTGCTTTCTTAATATTAAGATTTTGTAACCAATTTTACAAAAAAATTATCATCACGATATATTTTTAATTACAAACAATGATAATAGTTTTCAGATAAATTAAAAAAAAATTAAGGGGCCATTCATTAATTAATTACGTAAGATTTTGCCAAGTATTTTCCATTTGTATTGTTGTAATTAATTTTTCAATTACATTAATATTGTTAAAAACTTACGTAAGAAGGGGAAGGGGGGGGGGTCCGAAAAATCTTGTGTATTCTTACATGGAGAAGGGGGGGATCAAAAATAGCCAAAATCGTCCTTACGTAATTTATGAATGGTCCCTAATTTTATAATACAGAATTTTGTATCAAAACATTTCATTTATAAATTTTATTTAAATATTAAAAAAGCCATGTTCAGGCTAGAAATATTGATAAATATCTTTTACTTAAATAATTAAATTAAAAATAGTTTAAATGTGCATCTTTATGGATAATTGTATTAAGTAAATATAGGTTTAAAATAATTTTTTAAAAACATTTTGCAACAAATATATATATATATTTTTTTTAAATAGTAAATAATATTTTCCGAAAACACGCAGAAATTGACATTTCTAAATTTATCAATACATAATAAGAATTTAATAATATATGTCAAAAAAATATAACCTAAAAAAACTCACTTCAAAATCGGTGATTAGTTTAATAAGTAGTTTCAAGTCACTACGAATATCATCCAAAATTTTGGTACCCATGCTTAATCACTTTTTAACAAACGTTAAAATAAATGTTGCCATTTGATTTATGAAAATGTTTTTTAGTAAAAATAATAAAACCTTTTCAAACTTTTTCTTTTTTCTCTAAAAAAAATAAAACGTAAACAAAATACCAGGGATGGGACATCGATATGGTTGAATTATGGAACGTCTAAAATGAAAAAGGCGTTAATTCATGGGAAAAAGTTGCGGAAACAAAGAATGAGATAGAAAAAGACACAAATATATCTCTGTTTTTTTTAACTCATGCTTCACAATCATTTCCCTTAAAACACGTCTTTACTTTCCCATCCATGTCCATATGTGTGATTTTACCCTTATGAAAGAAGAAGGACAGACAGATAATAAATGATTGTCCTCTTTCTTTTCTCGCGCCTGATAATTGGAGTGTATGGTACACCCAAACGCTTAAATGCTGTCCTTCCGGTTTGGCAACGTTTTGAAAAGTCGTGACAGATCTATCGAAATCTTCATAGTTCGTGACGTATGAATAATCAACAAAAATAGATTTCCAAGTGACAGTTAACCTGTAAGATGGATGAGTAAATATTTTCAAGATATTTTTAAGAAATAATAGTGTCAATAATAATTATTTTTATTAATATTATTATAAATATTATTGTGTTTAAATTTGATTTATATAATATGACTATAACTGTATGAAACTTGTAATGTGAAAAATGTACGGAATTTGGAACTCGATATTTTTTAGAAACAACAAGTTTGACTTTAAAACTTGTTATTAATTGTGTTAATAATTTCTTATAATTTTAGATAATTTGTCCTGTTATTCTGGGTTTTATTATCGAATAATATTGTTTAACCAAATTTTTTAATTAAAAACGTGTTATTTTATCAAATTTTATTCCAAAATTGACATTTGACTATATCTTTATTAACAAATATTTCTTTTATCTAAAAATGTTTGTTAAATTGTATTAAAATAACAATTTTTTTAAGATTCTTTATTTTCTATAAATCCTGGATAAGTAATCATTTTATTTACAAAAATCTTTATTAAATACAATTTTTATTTAATAGTTATATTATTTGTGGACCTCCACATGAAAAGGTCCCATTTGAAGGTTATAGTTTTCGAGGTAATTGGAATTACTCAATTTATGTAAAGAAATATCGTGATTTTTAAAATATTTGCTTTATTAATCTGCAATATTTCAAATGTATCATCATACTGTTTTCATTAAATTATTGTAAATTAAAGTGTTTATTCTCATTTTTGTTTGTTTTTTTTCTTAAATGTCTATTTTGTCAGTTTATATTGCAAAATTAATTATTACAGATTTTCACAAACGTTGGAAAATGTGGAACCTACTGATTAATCAATCTAAAAGTGCGTTTTTAACTTATTTAATAACCCATAATATGTTAAAGTTTCTAGAAGAAACAGAATTATTGACACATAAACTTTGATTTTCTTTTTGTTAAAATAAAACTTTCGATATTTCTTAACAATATGCACAATAGAAACATTGAAAGGTTTCTAAATGAGACTAGTTTCCCTCATCTAAATAAAAATAGCATTTTTAGAAATGGAAAAGGTTTTTTTTGTATCTCTTGTATTTTCAAAATGAAGGGAGGGAAAAAGTTAAAACTAAAAAATTTTCAAGTTAGGCAAGGAATTTGCCCTTATAAATTAGTCCAATAGTGCCAAAATGGGATCTTTTTATGAGGACGTTGACATTTATTTATTAAAAGTATTTGGTTTTTTTTTAGAAAACCTGAGAATCCAAGTGTTTGAAATTGCCATAATTAATGTTTAAAAGTTTCCAAAAAAATGTGGAAAAGCCAGTTGTTTTTTAAAATTTTTAATGATTCAAAAAAAGTCAAATTCCTTAAATTTTCTACTATTTGTGACATAAAGAAATCTTTAATAAAATTAATTTGTTTCCAAATCTATCAAATAATTTATGAGATCCCAAAATAAGATTAAAAATTATGCTGGAAATTTTTGAAATTTGACATTGAAAAAATTAAAAATGCTTGGAATCTTAAAGAGTTTTTTAATTGACAATGTTGCTAATTTATAATTAAAATTTTATAGAATTTGAAATCGATTGGGGATGTTGATAGCAAACAACATTTAGAAAAATCACAATATTTATTGAGAGTTCCTTCCATCTTTTCTCGAGATATGGTTCCTATCATTGACTCTTATGCTCAGAAAGTCAAGAAAGTCGATTCAGATGAAAATCATGCCTGGCCGAATAATGTAGGAAATTCTACAAGCGATTGCAAGGTTACAAATTTTAAATATATAAATTTTCAAAATTTGTATAATAATTATATTTTCATTAACATTATTAGGTACTATTTTTATAAAAAGTCACTCTTCTATGTCTATTTTTTCTACTACTTTTATTGAGCGAATTTTTCATTATACTGAATTTTTTCAGATAAATTTTCTTCCAGGAATTTGTTATTTTATGAATATTTTATATACGGAAATTTTTTTGAACATTCACTTAAAATTTTTCTTGACATTATTTTCGAGTCACTGAATTCTTATTCACCAACTTTTTAATTAACTATATTTTTATTTACAAAAAAGTCAATGGAAAATTTTTCAAGTAAGAATTGTAGAACCGCCCATTTTTTATGCATTCAAAACCTCTTGAAGAAGAAGTTAATTTATCAATTTGAATGATGTCTAAAGTTGTTAACGATTTTTATTATTCTTAGACTCATTTTCAGTTATTTCTTTATTTCCTATAGAATGAAAAGTTTAGAATCAGTTTTTGAACAGAAAATTGATTTTTAAAATTCGGAAAAATTTTTTAATTAAATTTCCTTGAAAAATCTAAATAATGCCACCTTTGATATATTTTACATGACGGTTTTTTGAAAGAAATAAATGACTTATAAATTAATGAATATTTTTGGTACAACTTTGACAGACTGCACTTTTTGCGAAAAAATTAGACGTTAACGCTTGCAAGTAAAAAAAAACTTGCAAGTTACTGCAAGTTTTTTGAAGTTTGACTTTTAGAAAACTATAAAAGTTCTTGGAACTTTTAATTCATACTTATGCAGAAATGGAACTTCAATTTGACGAGGTTCTTCATTTGTTAATCTTTCAAAATTTTATAATTTCTGTAGAATTTGTATCCATTCGGAGATATTGACGGCAAATAGTGTTCAGCACAATGGCAGCATCCATTGGAAATTACTTCAACCTCTTCCCAAAATGTGGATTATATCGCTGACTCCTGTAATCAAAAAGCTAAAACAGTCTACTCGATGGAAATTCCGCAATCCTGTATGGATTTCCTCTCAAGGATTTCTTCAACTTTTATTTCAAACAACTGTCTTTCATGTGAGTTATTTATACTTTAAAGTTTTATATCATACTATTCGATCGTTTGTGTTTATTATGATATAATACTGCCGTCCGGTTTTAAAAAGTCGCTATCTACATTTGAAGTCAAACGGAGATATTCAATCAAACGCGTTTGCTTCAGAACCTTTAGAAGTATAATATTTTTGAAAAAAAGTGTAATTTTCTCGTTTTTTTCGTACATTTTCTTTATTTTTCGTACTTTTTTTTCTCTATTAAGTCACCGATCACTCAATTTTTAATATTATAGTTTAAAATTATAATATTACTTTAAAAAAATATTATTGATTATTTATTATCAATTTATAGAAAAATGTAAATTTTTATATTTTCATTATTTCGTTGAAATTAATATAATTCTTCAAATAATTCAAATATTTTTGTTCTCTGGGCTTAATTTAAAAAAGTACTATTTGCAATCAAAATATGTTATTTGTTAAAAATTTGATTAGTTTTTGAATAGGAAACAGATGTTTTAGTAATTAGTAGAAAAACAAATTTACCTCTGAAAATTATCACAATTTGTCAAATTTCTTAGATTAAATTAAAAAAAAGCATATTTTTGCAAAGAATTATAACATTACTAACTGTAAAATATTTAAATTACACGTAAAAATGACCATTAAAATAAGTCAAAGAACATGAGGCTAAATTAAACTGACACCCACTTAATTTTATAAATTATATTTAAAGCTGAATATTCTTTTTGTTTGAAACCAACATAAAATTTTGGAAAATTAACTGGACGACAGTTTCAGCTTCATTCAAAAAACATTGAAACATGTAAATTATTGCTGAAATTATGTTATTTTTAATAAAACAAGGCAAACTCAGGAACTTTTTTGAACAAAAAAATTAATTGTTTTGTTATTGATTGAATTTTTTTAAAATTCTAATAGATCATGGTTGCTTATCGAGAAAAAATGTACATTTTGAAAAATAATAAATTCTTTTTAGGATTTAAAAAGTAGCATTTACACAATTTTTGTAAATTAAATTGAAATTGACTAATTAATAATTCGAAATTTATCAAAAAATAGTTTTATACATAAATGCAGGTATAGCGGGATGTAATTATGAATTTCAAAATTATTTAATTTGCAATAATACACCCGTCGATAATAAAATTTTATTATTAGCTTTTTTTATAATTTTGAACAATCAATTGTAGACTTTTGGAAAAATTGAATTTCAAAAATAATTTTAAAAAATTGTAAGAATTGTGAAAATCAAATTAACATTTGCAAGGAAAGTATATTTTGGTTGGTTTTAATTTTACTTGTGATAATTTTGAAATTTAACTTTTTACCATTTTTATTATTTTTCACTAACTATTTTTTAAAATACTTTTTTTATAATTTCAAACAATAGATGTTTTATGTAAAATACGTATCGTATAGAAAAAGAACCCCAATCACTACAATTTCAAAATTTTATTAATTAAGTAATAAATTAAGAAATATATAAAATTAAATTTCCTGAAACAGTAATAAAAAATTTGGAAACAAATAAATAACCTGAATAATAAAATAAAATAAAATAATTTTTAACAACCAATAAAAAATTGTAATATAAACAGTAAATAATTCTTATGAAATAATGAACTTATTATATAGAATATATGTGTTCTTAAAAAGATTATTTGCAGATAGGACTTTTATCCGGAAATAAAAGTCAAGTTGAGTTGAAAACATGACAAAGAATGTCGCTATGTACATAGGTTTTCTGGCTTCGATCTTTTTAAGCCACTTTACTGACGAGACCT